TGTATATGGAGGATGAGGGAGCTCTCTGATTTCATCTAAAATATCTTTATCGCAGAAGATTGGAACGATGTATTCCTGATTGTACTTTATAATTCTTTTGCAATTTATTTGCTGTATATTTTTTTGTGTATTATTGTATATAAATGTTAAGAGTTCTTTTCATTATTACACTATAGTATTCCTTTTTTCACAGCTTACATAAACATCATGAAGACACCATACATTGGCTTGACGTTGATCCCAGTTTTAAGAGAAACAAATAATAGCTTGACTTCTAGTTGATCATTTGGAAAAGTGGCAGAAGGTAGATTTATCTGTTAAATCATCTGTTGAACTGCATCAAGGGCGTGCGAGGGATCTGCAGAGTGGATGGCAACATCAACAGCCTGAGGTATCATAACATTTGTGCTGACCATTTCATTACAAACCACAGGAGAGGGCAAATTCTTCAGCAGGATAGCGCTTCTTCTCATACTACAGCCACCATATCAAAGTTCCTGAAAGCAAAGAAGGCTAAGGTGCTCCAGGATTGGCCATTCCAGTCACCAGACATGAACATTATTGAGCATGTTTGGGGTAAGATCAAGGAAACATTGAAGATGAATCCAAAGAAGCTTGATGAACTCTTTATATTATATATTGTACATTATTTCTGTTAAGTGACAAGAATTTTGTCTAAGCAAATTCCGATCTTACTGTCCTAATTAAATAATTACAAATCATGGCATTTGCCTTTCATATAAGCAACTTGGGATACTAAATTATCAACTAGAAGTCAAGTTATTTTTTGTTGCTCCTAAAACTTGGATAGGCAGCAAGATTTTGTCAGGTAGTGTATTGTGATGAAAGCTTCAGCAATTATCACAACAGTAAAATCTGACACCATCATACAGTATGCCTATACCAGAGTTAAGCATTGCTGGTTTAGACAGAGCAGAAGATACAGGAGCAAGGTGAGTTAGTCACAAGCAGAAGAGGTTAGAAGAAGAAAAAAGTTACACCCATCCCAGTGCTCTCACAAACACTGTTGTCTTATCAAATACAGGCACGGGAGAAGCAGAGGTGTGTTTGCTGAGCACCGAACATGGAAGGAAATCTGCTAAATTAAGGACAAATCCGGAAGGAAAGACATGAAGACGCAGAGGACATAGGAAAGTACAGATGTCATGACATTTATTCAAGGCATGCTACAATTAAAGTTGATTAGGAAAACGTCAGCAGGGTGGGTAATAAGAATAATAACTCTAATAATAAGTATGCATAATAATAATAAGCCATTCAGAAACAGAAATAAAAGGAAATGCTTTCTACAAAAAATAAAACAAATCAAATCTCCACTCAATCATGCACTGCAAAAAATTAGAAAATATGTTTCTTTAATAGTTTAAATCTTCTATTTGCATTTATTACATCAAACTCATAAACTGGATACGCTCATGTCTCTCTCCAATTCCCCACGTCACATAAACTGCTTTACAAATGAAAGCTGGTACTGGTATGATATCAAAATACAGAAGACAAATTGTGTTTTTTTTCTAAATGTTAATTTCCATAAATATAAAAACCAGTTCATATTGGTGTGTTTGTATCTTGTTCCCCGAAACCATTTATTGTTTTTAATTTTTTGGCCAGGTAAAAAAAAAATATATTAATAATAATAAAATAAAATAAGGGAACACATATATGTACAGCATTTGTTTCCTTTTGGTAGTGAAACATTCATAAAAACTATAAATTAGGTATTTTGTTGTGTGTCAAAGCGTCCTGAGATCAACTCAGGCACTTTTTGTATGTGCGCTGTGCTTGAGCGACACCTCAGTTAAGCTAATTTAGTCTAGCCCCTCCCTTTTATGCAAATGACACAGTTCAATTAGCATCACTAATTTAGTCATGAGAAGAAAATAGAAAGCATTATGGCTGAAATTTACAGTTTAGATCTCTAGGGTCAAATGCATGGTAATAAAGCGTTCGAATATTTCAGTCCTGCATCAGTTCCAATTCAAAGTCCTTTGGTTTCAGTGGTTGTTTGTCGTTATGGTCTCATACGTTTTAGAGTAAAGCTTTTTAATGGAATTGATGACAAAATAAGACAAAAAGTGAACTCGTTTGACAATGAAATACTGAAAGCGTAAGGCTGTTCGCATGAATCCATCGAATGAAGGGCCCGGAAACACATTCAGAATCGCTAATTGTGTGGGAAAAGGATATGGCTTGACTTTACCGAAGAACAAAACTGCGGAAAGAGTGGAAAACACAAGACGTTTGTTGGTTTCTGATATACACCCAGGAAAATAAGTTACAAATAAGCTAGATGAAAGGCACATAAACTTTGGTCCTGCATTATTTGTGACTTTTTTTTTTCAGTAAAAAACCATGCACGTGTGTAACTGTTCGAGTGAGCGACGTGAAACTAAATGTTTTACAACACAGCGGAACGTTTTGTTGCCTGAGTCAAGACGTGGTTGGAAAATGTGTCGCTTCGAGAAACAAAAAAACGAATGACTTGTGACTTCTGTGACACGTTTTATGGAGTCTGGCTTTTCTCCTGTTGATAAATAAAAAGCAATGGCGGCCGGAAGCAGATTTGGCGCTCTGCTCAGCGGCCGCGTATAATTCACTTTCCCGTTTGCACACATTACAGACCCGGAACTGCTGTTGTGAAGAGGCAGAGTGACAGACAACAATCTTGAACCAGTTTTCACACTCCTAAAACAGAAATAAACTCAACAAACCCCAACGAATAAAAATAATAAAGAACAAAAGGCATCACAACAGAGCAAGAACGAAACCCTAAAATGAATCAAATATAAGGTACAGTAAATAAGATACAACTCCAAAACACACAGGCGGAGGTCTCAGACATCACTCGTAGCAAAATGGAAGGCAGACCTGAACACTCGAGAGCTCATGCTGTGGGCTTCTGGGTCTCCGTGCACTCATTTCACATGCATTAGGATGCTAAAATCATATTAGAATGACTGACGAGAGATGATATCAAGCAGACCCCGCAGATATAGTCCACACTGGCAGGTTTGGTTTCTGAGTGAGTCTTGCAGTGTGTGAGAGAAAAGAAATCACTACCATCACATTTTTGTTAGGCTATATGGTTACTAAAACCTATAGTATGCCTTTTTTTGCTTCACAACATGGATGTAATGCAAGCACATAGCGATTAGTTTTTGTAAAAATGTACGCGCAGCTAATTAAATTGCTTTCGCACTACCAAGTTTGTCCACAAGGTGTCGACAATGAACCGAACTGTTTTTTTATTAATGAAAATGAACACAGGAAAAACAAACTATTGAAGACGGGAAAAATAGGGCTTCTCTATGATGAGAAGTAACTCCAAAACGTCAATAAAATATACCCAAAACTCTGCTAAAAATAAATACAAAGACGTTTTTATGCCTCGGAAATGTTGGAGGAAATAAGCAAAAAAGTTGGACATGAATCGTCTTGTGTGCATGTGTCGAGCGGCTGTAATGCTGTGGGTTTAACTGTGCATGTACTCTAAAATATGTGTAAACAAACAACAATATACATGTGGTTACTTACTGGCCCCAGTTAAAAAATAAATTAAAATAGAGACCATCTCCAAGCCACCTTCAATGTAACGGTCGCATGGTAAAATTTGCAATTATTTGAAAAAAAAAAAGAAAAAACAGACAAAAAAATTCACAGATCTGTTAACAAATTATATACTTAGATACTATTTAGTACTAAAAAATTACTATAAAATGGTTTAATTTATTATAAAAGGAAAATTTGGCTGTAAAAGTTAAAGTTTAAAATCTAATTATCCTAAAAACACAGCAGAAACAGATCCAATAGAACAGGTATGAGGTTATACTGTTTGTCTCCTTGCAACAAATCCACAGTATTGACCTTATTCTTCACACGCTGCAATAGGAACGTTAATCAAGACTCAAGACTTATGGTCTCATTCACTTTCATTAATTTTTTAACCATACAAAATGCTTATGCTGCTTGATATTGCAAACTGATATTTTCTAATTATATTGTTATTTTTTTTATCTATAGTCACAAACATATTTCTTTGTAGTGCAAGTAGTTTGACCGTTTTCTGTCGTTTGTTATTCCAAGTCATTTCTCCTATACACTTGTTAAGTGTGACGTTACGCGAAGCGGCTTCCGGGTCCAAATGCTTTATCAAAATGTATGGGGAAACTTGACAAATGGTAAGAATAAACGTTTATAAAGCAATGTGGTACTTTCGAAAATCACAATCTCAATATATATATGGGATATATATATATATATATATATATATATATATATATATATATATATATATATATATATATATATATCAATATATATATATATCCATGCCTAATATATGACGCGAGAAAGTAATTAATCTTTTATAAATTGTTGAAACATTGGTGTCTGTGATGCAGCAAATCCAGAGACTGATGTGTACATCAAGAATGTAAATAAAATCTGACTAAAATAGAGTGGTCATAAACTAAAATTTTCTCAATTCAAATGAGTAGCGGCTTGGACCCAGAAACAGTATTTAATACGTCACCAATAAATCACGACTTAACAAGCGGACAGGCAAATGAATTGGAAGGTATACTATAACAATCGCAAATAAGGTCAATAGTAACTGATCATAATTGGTTAATAGCTTCAGCTAGCATGCTAAAATGCTAACCTCAAACTTTATAAATGACTGTAATAAGGTAAACACTAAATAAAATTCACAGATGTGTTCATAATTTCTGAATGTATGAAAGATTACAGCATTATGGAACTTTTTCTGGCCTTGAAAGGCTGTATGTAACAACGATACGCGAGTATAGTACACACATGTACACACACATTTGCAATGGAGAATAGAGACCCACAGCATGCTCTGAACATTGCTGAGTTCACCGTTCATTTTTCTAATAAGCATTCACAGCACCATACATTATAACTTACATCTCATATCATATTAAGACCACATGGTACTGAGTCCCCACAAAATGCACATCTAATAGAGCTACACAACCAAAGATAAAATAAAATTAAAGATCAAAATAAATCAACCCTCTCACCAATCCCACAAAATAGTACATAAGATATTTAGGTAAAATTTCTAAAACCTATTTGATTATGAACACATAATAAGGCACATAATAAGAAATTAGGTAAATACACAGTAAATATGATTTTTTTTCACCATGATTTCTTGAATGATTATAGTGGTACAAAAACCCGATGAGGTTTCAAATTTGATTTTTTTTTCTCTTCCATAAAAAAGAACAAATTACCAAAAATAAGTAACTTTTTTTCTCAAAAAATCTTGACAATCCTTAAGATATATAGACCTGAATAGTTTTGCTTTAAGACTGTAAACTTCAACAAAATTCAATTTCTTTTGAGAAGTGAAAGCGAGGATTTGAATCGCTTCAGGTGAAATCAGTCAAAGACAAAATAGTCACTGTCCCTTGCCTTGCATGAACACGAAGGTTGTTGATTGAAGATTGTGATTCAAACAGACATCGAAAGAGGATATAGCACACAGGCACCAAAGCTGCTCCCTTTAGATGCTACTCAATGGGTCTACATTGACCCTCCTTGGAATGTTAAGGCCCGATTTTTGCTAAATGAGACAGCACCTCGCTTGTACGCACAAGGGAGACATCATATATCCTAGAGTCCCGAAGCAGTCGGAAATAACACACTAGTAGTGACCAAACACACATACAGAATCAGCATCTGTATGTGTGTACCACTGCCATTTCCCAAAACCTAGTATCCTTCTTTTTTAAGCTTCATTTACACCACGAGTAACTAACCAGTGGTAAAGCGATAAGCTTTTCAAAAAATTCCATTTCAAAAGAGATTGAGTGACTTCCGGCGACCTAGATCTATGCAAGCAACAGCGACCGTTGATGACCACATGGGGTTTCTTTTCTTACTTAAAAAAATTCCCAGGTTCTGCAGGTTGCAATGTGCCAAATTTGTATTGCCAAGCTTAAGCCAATTGTAATCGATTGTTTTGGTTGAATTTAGAATTTCCGCAACCAACGCAGAGCCTGGGGGATCGGAATGAGTGCTCCAACTTGGCTCCCCCCTGATCCAGGCAGCTAAAATGTTGCTGCTAGTGTGAATGAGGCATTAGACAACCTTTTAAGGCATCACAGCCTATCCTAGTCTTTTAAGATAGCTAATTTTGGCCAAAATCTAAGGCAGCTATGTATCCTTGGTGCAAAAGGCAATTCCAGAATGCATCGCGAAATACAAGATAGTGAGAAAATTAACGTAACTGTTGATTCTGAATACATTTAGAATTCATTTAATACTGAAAAATATCAACAAAATCCTTTAATCTAATTTAAAATGTTTCATTTTGTTTGACAGTTAGCATCAAGCTAAAATCCCTACAATATATTAGTAATATAATTCAATTGATTCCGCTAAGGATGCAATACTTTGTGTAGAAAAAAATAGCATTAAGCAAACATCAAACAAGTGTTTTGACACTTACTACAGCAGGTCTACAAAGTGCTTGATTGTTGTCACCATGCCATGCAATAACTTGCAAATCCATTTGACCTGTTGACTGACGTAGCACAAGTGCAAGGATTACAGCAGAAATTGAGTGGATAGATCAGTTTACTTAATCCATTGCCATTAGTACAGTGACTATATGTAGTTATTAGCTTTGGCTAGGAAAATGCTAACCTCAATTCTGTATTAACAAGTTCAAAAACTCAGTACTTGCATGTCCGGTACTGCTATGATTGTGGCTACATGCTAAATCTAACTGTACTAAAATCAACTCCTAGTCAAAAGAGGGGGAGTTCGTTCGTTTTGACTAAACTCTACAAAGCAACTGACAAAGCTTCCAGTTTTACCAATGGCAGAGTCTCAAATTACTATCTCTGCCTCTGGCCTCCCTTCTGTTGGAGATGAGTTTGCCTATGTACTTTTGCACTATTATCCACTTCCAGAGCACTGCAGATAAGTCACTTATGGGCTTTCATGGCAATTCAGACGCTACCTCAAAGGGCAGCTTTACTATGTGGCAACTGACTAGGTCTGGGAAATAGGTGGCGTCTTTGTGTCATTCCGACTGACTCTTTCTTTAATATTTGGTTTGCTCAGATGCAGAGGCATTTAGTGTGGGACTGCAAGGCAAAAGAGAGTGCTGCCCTCTTTTTTTTTTGCTGTGACTCAATGGGCTTCACTAAGGTTTCTACAGAGCCCATGGCTGCAAACTCTCACACCTGTGGACAGAGCCGAGGAGTGAAAGAACAGAAAAAAGAGCACAGAACCTTCTGCCCCTGTGTGACCAGATGGAAAACAAGAAGAACCAAAGAAAAAAGACTCAACTCAGAGCAAGAAGGGGAACAGAATGAAGGAAAAACTGTCAATTTTCCATTGAAAGAACGGGCTATACCATTCACATTGAGAATTTCACTTAAGAGGAGACAAAATCTCCTGTCAGGCTGGGCGTTGCTGCTTGGAGCGTTCCAGTAAGGTTGACAGCTGGCCGTAAGTGTTTCCGGAATGATCGTGCATGTTTGAAAACAGTCGTTCTGGTTCAGAGGAACCTGATCGACTGGACAATGACATTGCGCGCCGCAGAGCGCAGATGTTTGTCTGACAGCATTGCAGGTGCAGAAAGCCACGATAGGCTGGTCTGTCCAATATAAAATTTCCATTATACAAGGAAAAAAAAACAAAAACAAATCACACCATTCACTATCTATTCACAGATGCCTACCATCTGGCTATACATCTTTGCACAGTAAACAGATATGAGGATGTCAAACATTCCCCACGGTGCCTGTCATCAATTCAAATCACTCAAAGTGCCGAGAAACAAAAGGTGTGTAAGCCGAAACAGTTGTGATTGAATTTCAAATGCACTCGCTATCGAATCCATAGCACTCGTATTTTAATGCTACTCAAAAGAAAAAAGGACAAGCCCATCGGTTCAGGCCGTCGCTACAGATTTTTTCCAGCAGCACCTTGATGACGATGTCAGCGACATTCAGACGGTGACCGTGCGTTCAACACATCCCACATGTAATGGGGCACTCCGTTGAAACAGCCAACAAGAGTTAAGGTGTCATTTTTTTAGGGGAGGGACAGATGAGGCTCCATCCTTAAGTAGGTGTGGGATAAAAAGGCCATTGGGCTATAGGAGTGTCAGTCTCCAATGTAATCAGCAAGTGTGCGATGAAGAAACCTCCTCAGCATTGACTTTTTTTTGTTGTCGTTGAGATTGTTCACCTTGTGTTAATTTGCGTTTCACATCAACAAAGTTATCACCAGTAGACTATAGAGGGAGTCTTACTTCGTCAGCACAGAAGTTCCCAAAAACGTCACATTGTCATGGATATCCCATGTGTCTCCAGCCCTGGTTTGGTGCGAGTAAATCAAACTCACTCACAGAGTTTCTAAACGTTCTGCAGTAGTCTCTTATTAGCTTTTTTCATTCTTTTTTCTTTTTTCTTTTGGAAAAATCTCTAAAACTACCCATATGAATATCTGTAATTTTTTTTTAAGTTTGTCAGTCAGTCTTACTTTCTGAATGATACAGACTGCTGAAGGTAGAAGGGCTGAAACGGGGAGGATGGGGAAAGGATGTGTTTGTAGTGAAGGGGTGCTAGATGGTGGATTTGGAGAAGGACACTCGCAGATGGTGGTTTTCTCCCAGGTCGTGGTTGTGGAGGTGGATAAGAGCCTGGATGGCCTCTTCCACAGAACCCAGCTGGATCAGTGCCATCTTACGGTCCTTCCTGTCAAACATATATGGATAGTACAAATTTAGACATCGGAGGGGGGGGGGGGGGGGGGGGGTTACAGGAGCACTGATCTGCAAGGGATAATTTGGGGTCAACTTGTACAACTTTATTAAGGACATTGACATAAAACAAGGATGCCCAATTCTGTTCCTGAAGATCTACCTACATGTACCTGCAGAGTTCACTTCCAACCCTGTTCAATCAGCCGTCTGTAATTATTATTGAGCTGCTTGATCAAGGTTGGAGATGAACTTTGAGAAAGGAAGATTTCCAAAAACAGGACAGGGCACACCTAACAAAATTCAATTTAAAACGTAGATGTCCATTCCTCCTCCCAAAAGGCTAACTTCTAGAGTTCAGGTACATGTTTTCCCCCCATAATTATTCTTAAATTTATAAATAGTAAATTTAAAATCCTTGTACTTGTCAGCCTTTAGGACATGGGTGTTTAAACCTGCTTCTGTAGGGCAAAATTAATGAGACTTTACTGTAGCTTCAACCATCACCAATACACTTGATGTCTAGAGAATCTGAAGACCGTGATTAGCTGATTGAGGTGGGTCTAATTAGAATAGCAGCTAAAATCTGTAGCTCAGTGGCCCTCCTGGCAGATTGGACCTTACATCGTTAGGACTTTTCACACTGCGCTTAAACTTAAGTGTTACCCATTATTTTAAATGAAGATGGCATCGGTTTAAGTCACAATCCATGCAATTAACTACTTGCGTTTTACCAGCCTATTTTTAGGTTATTAACGATTATTAGTAGCTATAAAGTATAATCTGTATCCCTAATCCTTCCCAAAATCTAAACCCAACTATTAATAAGCTGTTAATTAGTTGATTATTGAGCTATGGTTTGACAATAGCATGCATTCTGACTTTAAATGTGGTTTTACTAAATAATGTTTTTAACCCAGGTAAAGGAACATTTCACACTTATATTTTAAAAGTGGGGGTAGCACCAAATTTACCCAGGGTTATGAAACCTTGTTCTGCTTTCTTATGTTAATTATGATGAGGATCAATTGAAGATGCACAACACTAAAACCTTAAATGCCGTTTACACTTATGCAGTTTAGTTTTGTTACATTTACACTTGGCGTTTACACCACTTCGGTCCATGAAAATGAAGCGTTCTGACCTGCGTTTTGATGCTAAAGATCCCGTTTTAACTGGGGAAAATTGCTGTTCTGTTTCAGTATAGATGGATGAAAAATCTAAAATTTTGAAAACAGAAGTGTAGCTATCACCAATTGCTGCGACTAGACATGTCTTTTAGGCTGCATGGTGTGGGCAGAGATTGTTTTTCTGAAAGGCAGTAAAAACGTCAGATAAGGAATATTTTCAATCTATTATGCCAATTTAAAATGAACTAGTGTAAACACAGCCTTAATGTAAAAAGGCCTCATGCTGTGTTCGTCCCATCAATGCCACAAACACCATAAATATGCAAACAAGAATGTTAACCAAGAGTGAAGGGTTTACACAGTGTGAAACCCGTGTGCACTGGACAATCAGGATCATTTGTAATTTCTTGTAACTTTGGGTATTGTGAAATGTACTGTGAGATCCATTTATAGAATGACTCAGGGTTCAAGGGTGAAAATCCTTCATTTAGGATCTAAAAACAATCATCTTTTTTGTCCCTTTTATTTTGGAGGAAAGATACAATAAGGCTGTTCCCTGGGATACAGTAAATATGAAAAATACAACAATGAGAACTCACTGGAAAAACTTGAAGGCCTTGACTGTGTATCCAGAACTGGCAAACAGATCTTTCAGAAAATCATCAGTGGTGGAGGGACTGAAAGGTGGAAGGGGAAAAAAAAAAAAAACAATGGTTACAAAAGACATAAATAGCACCTTTTTTGATGCCAACAATAATTCACAGAATATTGGATGACTTTTAGTACAGTAAACTAATATGGGCATTTAACACTGGAGTAATATGCATAATAGTTTTTTGTTTTTAGTAAACATAAAATTACCAGACAATCAAATCAACATAAATGCACTCAGAAAAATGACGCTTTATGCTTGTTCAAACTACTTATTAAAAATGAGATGAATCAACACAATTCTCATTTTTGGGGTGGACAACTTAATTGTTTTATGTTTAATCCCCTTAAATTTTCAAAAACTACTAATACTAATAAACTAATAACTTAATTTCTTCATGTTGCCCTAAAACAAAGCGATAAACAGATGCGTTTTTACTATTAAAATGATCAGATGTGCTCCAACATTAGGCACAAATCAAGACTGAAAACACATCTGTTTAGCTGTGCCTTTACTGAATGAGCACTGTGCTACGTCCGACAGATCGCACTATTATGTCTTTCTTTTCTTTTTCATTCTTTTATAACCTGTTTTAACACATTTGAATCAGTTTTTAGCCGTTTTAATTCTTTTTAATTCTTTTAATTTTAATTTTCTTGTTTCTTTTAATCCTGTTAAAGCACTTTAAATTACCATTGCGTATGAAATGTGCTATAGATATAAACTTGCCTTGTACGTTACATTTGCATAAGTGAATAATTTGCTGGCTGCAGTTCACTTAATAACCACCAATGTTGCCAATATCAAATGTTTCTGAACTCTACTAAAGATTCAGATTAAAAAACATATTTTTTGTACCATGCTGAGCATTTGGTGCCTCGCATGGGTGAATGTCAGTCACTCACGGGATATTTGAGAGGTGCAGGGTGGCGGAGGGAGGGAAGATGTTCTGGAAGTTCTTAGAGCCGGGCTTTTTGAAGCGGTGCAGTGGGCTCCCACTGAAGTCTTTGGTCAGGCCCTGATCCTCCTGACCCTCTCTAGGTAGCTGCACTGTCTGGTGCTTTGAGATGGTCACACGGATCACCTTACCATACAGACGCTGGCCATTCAAATGGCTCATCGCTTAACAAGAAAAACATCAGTGATAAGATTTAATCATCAGGCACATCATGTTACACACTTACACTGAGCGCATTGTTTTCTCACATTTGAACAATTAAACCAAAGCGTTTAGAGTTCAGTACCATATATACTAAAAAAAGTTATTCTCTTTGAATTTAATTATGTTTATACCTACTACAATATTCATTGTTTTGTTTGTTTGATTTGTATGGTGCTAAGAAGACACCCCAGAAGAGCATAGTATAGCCTCCTCATTGGTCAATATGAAGAAAAAATATTATTAATTTAGGATCTTCATTTAAATAAACATCAGGGTTTCTGCAGGCTTCTTCAAGTCAAATTTAAGATTTTTTAAGACCCATTTAAGACCATTATGAATGAAACTTTAGACTTATACAGGGCTAAACACAAAGGATTTTTTCAAATTACTTCAGTAAATAGTTTTTGCATTATTGCAAGACCATGTAAAAGCATGTGTTGCTTTAGTTTTTTTCTTTATGATTAGGGGATTTAATTTGAAGAATTTGCTGTAAAAATGTCTGACTACTCTATCTTTTTGCAATAAAATATAAACAAAAAAGCTTTAAAATGGATTATTGGTGATTGGGTGTCAGCCAGATAGGGTAGCTTTACTTGGACACAGGAAAATTAAAACTAGTTTAAAATTATTTAAGACCTACAACACTGTACTTTAGTAATTTTAACACTTTTTAAGGCCTAAAATTTAGTTTTGAAATTTAAGACTTTTAAAGACCCCGCGGACACCCTGATATATATATATATATATATATATATATATATATATATATATATATATATATTTATATATGTATGTGTGTTTGTGTGTGTGTGTGTGTGTATATGAGAAATATCACACTCGGCACTGGTGGGAGGCATGCGTTGGCAAGAGGCCACAGGCTGAGTGCCTGAAGCTGGAATTATACTCGCGCCTAGCGCCGCATCGCGCACCTCTGCTGACTACGCGCGCACCTCTGCTGACTACGCGCGCACCTCGCGAAACGGCCGAGGCTTTTATACTCGCCGCGTTCGCCGTTGTGATATTCTTTAAAATGTCAGGGGGCGGTCAAAAGAAACTCACCGTAAAGTCAGACAGATAAACAGAGAAGTAGAAAGTTTCCGGAACTACGTCATATCATAATACAGTTCAATATTTTTTAAACTATTGATTTTGTATTGTTTTTATACATTATTTTAATGATTATAAGTATTTTTGTTACAATTTAAGATTTTTTTTTATCAAATCACTTGCTTTTGTTCATATCTCGGCCAGTTTAACCATTTAAAGTTTATTATAATATTAATCACAAGAGAACATGAGTTGCTTTACAAATATATTTTTATTATGGCAAGAATAAAAGCAAAAAAAGAAAGGATTTTTTCAGATTTAGCCCCCTCCACAAAAATATAAATCAGTGTTACCGGTGGAAAAACATATTCTGTATTTGTAATTAATGACAAAAGAACACGAGTTACTCTACAAATAAATGTTTTATTATCGCAAAAAAAACACACTTACTAAAAAATATAGATTTTTTTTTTTAGATTTAGCCCGCTCCACAATTCACACATTATTGTCTGGCTAGTTTCTGTCCTATTTTTATGCTAAAAAGGCAATGATCGTCCAACATTACAGATCATTATCACCAATAAAGCCCAGAGAAACAGGGCATCAGTATATTGTAAATCGATAGGTTTAAATATTCCTTCCCAGTTATCAAATAAATACTTCTGTGACTTCATTAGTTTTGTAGCTATAAAACTGTTTTAAATTCATTATTAAACAAAATACATCAGTGTAAAACCTATAAATGGTGAAAAAACATATTCTGTGATTGTGTACCTGGTCTCCACTTTTGCCATGGCCTCTTTTGGTTTTAATAAATTTATTCTTCAGGTTTTTCCAAACCTTTTAACAAAAACTTGTTGCTGTTGCTATTTCTAGCCAATAATTATTGATCATTAGGTTATCTCTCTGATCATGGGTCATTAGATGTGTGTACAGTCATACTGTTTCAGATGAAATCTCTTCAAAATGTATCATATTCCACTCAAATCAGTTGTGGCGCCACGCGCACTGTTCGCTTGAGTCTCAAAAAATGCCCGACGCACCGCCAGCCGAAATCATGCCGCGCGCACCCAAAGCGAACCTCCACAAACTCCGCAATGACGTCACATTCGCCGCGCGCACTCAAGCGAACAAGCGGACGCGTCGAGTATAAACAAGGCTTGAGTGTTCCACCAGTGACGATATACAGCCACATTGCACTGCTACTAGTGTGATATTCTGTTCATACAACAGTTTGACGGCATAATCGTGTATATAAAAAAAGAAAATCAAACACGGTGAGTCTCAAAACCCTTCTGTAAGAGGAAATACTTTCATCCGCCATTCATTCACATCTGCAGCTGACCGTCAAAACAGCAGAAGCCGTTACTAATTCACCGACGTCACTTTAGAGCTAGTGTTTGAATAATTCCTTTTTAGGTGCAATTAGAATCAATAGTAAAATTAAAATGATAAATTAAAAAATAGCTACTAATTAAACTTAATATTTACATTTCGTCACCTTAGAATTACAAGGTTCTATCTGACATTTTTGTCAAAATTGAGTTAATGACATATTCTTATTAAATGACAACTTTTTCACATTATGGGATGTTTTTTTTTATAAGTTGTTTACATTTTAAGACTTTTTATTTAAAAAATAAATGTTACACACATACTGTTTGATATGGAATGCAAAAACTTTGAAGCTCATTATCTCAAAACCATTCAGAACGCAGATAAAACCTTTTAATTTCAAGGTGATGATTTTTGCATGCTGTATCATCAGAATTGTTTTAAACATTTCTGTAAATATACAATATCTCAATTCAGAAGTTCTAAATTAAATTTTTTCCATTAAATTAAAGTAATATATCCATTTTTTTGGCGAAACTAATATTATCTCTCTCAAGCATCGCAACAGAAACCATTCACGGACTTTCATAAGTAAATAAAGACTCAATTTCTCCTACCAACATTACACAAGACACTAGCTATTAAAAGCTGCAGTCAGTATATTTTAATGCAGCCACACAACAACAAACCGTTTTTAATAGAGAAATGTAATTTCTACAAGCGTGTGGATTTGTAGCTCAAACACAGACACAGAACTTGCATTTAAAGAGGACTGATCAAAGCATGAAAACACATCAAGATGAAAAGGCTTTGTGTGTACAGCCTGACGTACCAAGCTGGGCTTGCGTGGCGTCCGCCATCTGTATTAAAGCATTCTCTTTCTTGTTGAACAGAATCTTCACTCGGTGCACATCTCCATAAACTCCTGTGTGGATAAAAGAGAAACGTTCATATTTTCATGCTCAATCAGGATTTATAGCAAATAATATGTGATCCGCAGATCTCGCTCTTTCATTATTAAAGCCAGAACCAAACGCACTGATTTTACAGGATATCAGTCTGATGTTGACAGTTATTAAATTGCAGGCACAATAACTGCGTGCAATACTGCAAAATTTTGGAAGATTCATTTGACGGGTCACAAAGCGCAATCTGCAAATAATCTCCCACCGGTGTATTTGTAAGGAAATGGTCTCATTGCTCAGACTGGATCCTCAGCGGCCTTCATAAAACAGAGCCGTCTGCACATCTAATCTGGAGGAGAAATAAATTCATCCTTACCGAATAAAATGAAGAGCTCGTGTGGCGATATACTCTGTAAGAGAGAGGGAACATTATCAGAGAAATGACTCAGTAGTGAAAAGATGAAATGAGTAAGTGTAAAATGTATCCAGAAACATTAATAGATGAGGTGATTTGCTGTGAAACAGGCTGAAACACTGATACGCTTCAGTATGAGTGCTGACCGATAACACTGCAGTAAAAGTAAATAAAGTACATGAATGTGTCTTGTGATAGCAGTAGCTGAGGCTGAATAACCAAGCATACTAATGGCTTAGATGTAATTATATTATATTATATTATATTATATTATATTATATTATATTATATTATATTATATTATATTATATTATATTATTCATTCATCTTCTTTTTTGGCCTTTATTAATCAGGGGTCGCCCACAGGGGAATGAACCACCTACTTATTTAGCATATATTTTACGCAACAGCTGGAACTTATGACTGCGGAACACCCACACACTTGTATTCACATACATACACTACGGTCAATTTAGCAATTCACCTGTACTGCATGTCTTTGGATTATGGCGGAAACTGGACAACCTGGGGAAAACCCACGCGAACACAGGGAGAACATGCAAACTCCACACAGATATGCCAATTGACCCAGCCAGGACTTAAACCAGCGACCTTCTTGCTGTGAGGCGACAGTGCTAAACCTTGAGCCACAGTGTCACCCTAATTTAATTTAGATTTTAAATGCAAATAAGCAGCTTCTGGGTTTAGATGCTATTCTAACTGAAACAACAAAACAAGCAAATCTCATGTATTCAAAATGTCAGAAATTACCAGTACAGAATAAAGCCTTACATGTTGCATAAACCGGACTAGATAACAAAGGAGAGGAAGATCTTGTAATTTTCATAGATAACTTCTAGTTAAATCTAAGTGCAGCTCTGCTGTCAGTGCACACTAGCAATGTATAAAGTATGGCAACCTCAGCCACATTAGTATGCTAATGAGCACATTCAGAATTGACATTTTGGAAACATCTTAAAATATGAAGAATCAAAATATTGTGTTTAGTGCCAATATCTATATAGCTATCAGTACTAGATAAAATATTATTTAGTAAACTTTACTTGAAAGAATATAAGGATTAATTTGAATTAAATCAAATATAAAAGCAACCTTATTTTTTTAGATAGTTTTCAATAGAGCAAAGTTTTTCATGTATTAAATTAATGTATTATTATTATATTATTATTATTATTATTATTATAGTAATTCAAAGTGAATTAAAATATTGGAATTAATTAGTTTTAGACACTTTTTAGACTAGAGTTAGTTTAATTATATGCATATGCAGAAATATATATGTAACAAATGGCATCACGGTGGCTCAGCGGGTAGCACAATTGTCTCACAGCAAGAAGGTCACTGGATCGAGCCTTGGCTAAGTCCGGGTGCTCCGGCTTCCCCCACAAATCCAAAGACATGCCTTATAGGTGAACTGGGTAAGCTAAATTAGAGTGTATGTTTCCCAGTGACGAGTTGCAGCTGGAAAGGCATCTGCTGCGTAAAACATATGCTGGAGTTAGCAGTTCATACCGCTGTGGTGACCCCAGATTAATAAAGGAAAATGAAATTAATGAATATAAAGATTAAATTGAATAAAATATAAAAACAACCTTATTTTATTTCAGATATTTTTTATTTGAGCAATGTTTTTCCAACTTGATTTAATAAAGTTACAAACTAATATTATTATTATTATTATTATCATTATTATTATTATCAATTTTATTATTATTATCATCATCATTATTATTATAGAAATTGAAACTGAATTAAAATATTGGAATAGCTGATTTATAAGACACTTATTAGACTTAGTTAATTTAACTCCATTTACTAAAATAAGCAAACCTCTAACAAAATGCAATAAAATCTATTTAGAAAATGACTAAAAAACAAAATGCTATATAGTTTTAACTTTTTAAATAAAAACTTTAGTAAAAATATTAAATATTAAAAATGTAAACAAACGTTAAGAAAATTACAGTACATGCATATTTATTTATATTTAGAAATATATATGTAACAATTGTATTACATAATTGTATTACACAATTGTAACAATATGTAACTACATTTATAATAGCTTAATAATATTGTGGAATAATACCCCAAGACACACAATATAAAGAAAAACAGAATTTTCCAAACCATTTTATTGTGTATATTCTTGTGAAACTCTAAATATTGCATGTAAGGCAAACACATCCTATCAGTTTTATGCTGTATACATGTCAGATTTGTGTAGGAAGAACATGGTCAGTCCCTTATGGGCAGGTGGGGATGGAGACTCACGTCAGGGTTAAGGTTGGAGACGAGGAGCACAGAGTGGATGGCGGTGGGGGTCATGCCGTGGATGGCCATCCGTCCTGTCATTGCTGAGGAAGGGATGGTCAGAGGTCCCAGAGCACCAGGCATCGCCTGCATTGACAGACCTGAGCCGACCGGGACAGAGAGGGAACACGGGAAAACCAGGGGTGAGGTCAGGCCCTGTTTATCTGACATTAACATGCCTTTCTCTACATCTGATACCTAGTGGACGATGATTAACACTAGGTCTGACTTGAGCTTGTCTGTATGTGACCACATCTAAAAGGTTGATTAACTGAAGATGATTTTTATGCCCATTTTGTCATGCCAGTTCTAAAAAAAAACTCCAGCACATGTGTTTAGATGAAGCAGCGTTTACTACACAAAATCATAGTTTACCACACAAAATTGTAATCGTAGTTCACTGACACGCTATGGAAAAATTTAAAATGATTTAAACGGTCAATAATGAAATCAAGATACGTGTTCTGTGATAATGACAGCTGTTAGTGTAGCTTGTCAGTGAATTATGGTTCTGTGTAGTTCTGTAAAAGTATCACATACAGTTGAAGTCAGAATTATTAGCCCCCCTTTGAATTTTCTTTTTTTAAATATTTGACAAATAATGTTTACCAGAACAAGGACATTTTCACAGTATGTCTGATAATATTTTTACTTATGAACAAAGTCTTATTTGTTTTATTTCAGCTAGAATAAAAGCAGTTTTAAGTTTTTTGATAAACATTTTAAGGTCAAAATTATTAGCCACTTTAAGCTATAGTTTTTTGATTGTCTACAGAACAAACCATCAAGATACAATGATTTGCCTAATTACCCTAACCTGCCTAGATAACCTAATTACCTAGTTAAGCCTTTAAATTTAAGCTGTATAGAAGTGTCTTGAAAATTATCTAGTCAAATCTTATTTACTGTCATCATGGCAAAGATAAAATAAATCTGTTATTAGAAATGAGTTAATAAAACTATTATGTTTTGAAATGTGTAGAAAAAATCTCTACACTCAAAAGAAAAAAGGGGGGGGGGGTAAACTGGAGGGTAATAATTCAGGAGGCTAATAATTCTGACTTCAACTGTATATGTTTTAACTCTAAAAACTCTAAATCTTTTTTTAACAACAATTTTGATTTTAAACACTGTGATACAAGTTAAAAAGGTTTTTAATTTTTAGTTTAGTAAAAAAATACAATAAGATTAATATATCAACTCAAAACAACTTAATACAATTTGAAATAAAAACAAAAATAAAATAAATAATAGTATTACCTAATACAGCAATAATATATTTTTCAAATCTATATACTTTCAATGTCCATTATTTTGAAATAAATCATCAGTCAAAATGTTAGATGATTCTAGTCCTGTGTTTACTAGTCACAATGAATTCAAGCAGTTAAATGTTCTGGTTATAATGCTGCACTATGGGGATTTTCTGGATTTTTTCTTTTGTGGAGTTTTTTTTTAGCATTTAGCATTTTAGCTGATGCTAGTAACACATTATGATCAGTTACTATTGACCTTATTTGCGATTGTTATAGAACTTCCGATTCAGTTGCTTATCCATTGTTAAGTCGTGACGTATCAGTGACGTATGTACTCCTGTTTTAGGGTCCAAGCCACTACTAATTTAAATGGAGAAAAATATCTTTTATGACCACTTTTTAGTCATATTTTAATCCAATTTTATCAAATTTATCATTTTCTGGCCATCGTATATTAGACATATATATATATATATATATATATATATATATATATATATATATATATATATATATATATATATATATATATATATATATTGCAATTTTCGAAAATATTATCATCAAATATTATCATGTCATTTGTCGAGTCTCCCCACTTAAAGAGCCCATATTATGGGTTTTTGAAAATTCCCATCCATGTAGTGTGTAACACAGCTCTAAGTGAAGTGAAGTATCCAGCTAAGGCTTAAATCTGTAAGAATACAGTGTTTAAAACGGTTGATTCATCTTTAAAAGAGTCGACTCATAGTGCTTCAAACGAGTCGCCTTGATACCGAGTCATTAGGTGTTTCGCCATGACGTACGAACGAAACCAAGTTATTCACGTTCACGCGCAAACCCGGGAGATTTCAAACCTGAGGCCCCGCCCTCTGACGCAGAAATCCAGACAAACACACACACCCACAAACAAACGCACACAAACATGCCGGTCGATTGAAGTCACACTGCAGATGGATATTATCGAGGGTCTACCCAAAGATGAAACATCAGCATTATAACCAAGCAGTTGGAAACTACTGGAAACTTCTGGAAACTACATGCTACAAAGAATACTTCATCTGCGTTTGTTAAAGGAAGGATCAGTAAAGAGTAAGTTAACTTACTGATGGACGTCAGGATGGATTTTTCTTCCACCATTTCTCAAGTGTAAGTACGTGCAATTAAAGTTGTTGCCTCGTTTACTCTAGCTTGCAAATGTATTTAGTTGTGATTTGTTACTTGTAACCGTGTGTACTGTATCAGGTTAACTGGCTATATTCTCTTATCGCTTGCAAAGTCACGTTAAAAACGCGACGCGTGCTGCTTTGTTTACAGAGCTCCGTGGTAGAGGTCTGCATTCCCGCGGCTGTCCCCGCGCCAGATTTCTGCGGCGCGGGAATAAATTTCCGAATAAATCAAGGGAGCAGTCGGTAACGGGTTTAATTTGGGACGGGAGCGGGCTGTCTAGCAATATCACGGATATTGCTATGCGAATGAGAAAGAGAGAGAGAGCTTTGCTTGTGTGTGTGCTTGGTGCTTGTGTGTTAGTGCGCACACACAGAGAGAGAGAGAGAGAGAGAGAGAGAGAGAGAGAGCTTGTGTGTGTGTGTTAGTGCGCACACAGAGAGAGAGAGAGAGAGAGAGAGAGAACATTGTCTGTGTGTGTGTGCTTGGTGCTGTGTGTGTTTATACAGACAGCTTGGCTGTCTGGACTGTATAGCTGGATGATTTTTGGTTTTGTTCTCCCCCGCTCTTTAGCGGGATCCGTCGCGGCAGGCAGAAAACGGGGCGGGTCGGGCACCGGGACCTCAAATTCTTCATCGGGTCGGGTTCAGGCTAAACCTGGCGGGTGCGGACGGAAGCCGGAGCGTTGTCGTCCGGAGGTGTGTGTGTTTTTGTGTGTGTGTGTGGCAGCTAAAGTCCACGCCTACACTATCGAGCGTGTATAAACTGTGATTACTTTCAATATTGCTGATTAGCTATTGGGCATAACACTCTCTGACTGAAGGCAGTCGACCAATCGTGACAGACTGTCATCGGTCCAATCAGCGCAGATTAGCTTTGCGCTAAGGAGGGGTTTGGGAACAAATAAATCACTGGACGATTCATACAGGAGACACTGGGATAATTAGGTCAAAATAAATGCAGATTATAAGACCATGAAAGTGTTTTTTGACCTTGCATGCATATTAAACTGTTGTTGGAGACCCTTACAACCAAGAGATGACCCTATTTCATGTATAATATGGGCTCTTTAACAATCACACTTAACAAGTCAATAGGACAAATGACTTGGAATAACAAATGGCAGAAAACGGTCAAACTACTTGCACGAGTAAATAAGTATGTTTGAGACTATAAATAAAAAACTAATTAGAAAATATCAGTTTGCAACATCAAGCAGTTTTTTATGGTTAAAAATAAATGGAAGTGAATGAGACCAGAAGTCCCGAGCCATTAACGTTCCAATGGCAGCGGATGAAAATTTTTTACTTCTAAACTAAAAAAATTTTTTTTTGTGATTTAAAATATCTTGACGATATAATGTGTTCCCCTAATACTTTGCCATCTGAAACTGCAAGTGTATTTTGCACGTAAACATGTATGTCTCCCTCGTCCATTTCTTTTTTGTTTGACCATAATGCATCTTAATGCCAAACATAAACAGGGTCACAGAGTTAAGAAGGGAAGGTTCTAAAACAATTGACCATTTTTTCAAACTGTTTCTCAATTTTTTTGTGTGTGTGTTTTTTTGATACACAACATGTGATTGCTTAATAAATCCACATGTCTAGGCATGATGGCTCATTCATTATACTGTGTTTAAAGCAACAGTTCACCCAAAAATGAACAATTTCTCATCGTTTAATTACAGTTGTTGGAAACCCTTATGATTTTCCTTCTTCTGTTGGAAACAAAGCAAGATATTCTGAAGAACGTTGAGGAAAATGCTATAGCAAAAAAAAAAAAAATACTATTGAAGTCATTTAACTGTTTTTTTTCCCAACAAATTGACCATAGTGTTCAACAGAAGAAATACACTCAAACATTTTGGAACAAGTGGAGGACAAGTAAACAATGACAGAAATATATATATATATTTTTTGGTGAACTATCCCTTTAAATGAGTATTAAGTAGATGCTTGGGTAGTAAGAGGTTTAAATAAAGTCAGCACAGATCAGGGTCTGGAGTGTGAAATGGAGCCACGCTTGGGTTAAAGACAACATGAAACTGCATTTACAATATGCTTGATGTATGTGGAGGAGTTATTTTTATTTGACTGAAAAAGATATCAATAATTGTATATTTGATATATTTGTTATGATGTAACTGGTGTTAGCAGTGTAAAGGTACTCACTCATAGGGTACTTGTATAATGTTTTATTTTACATTTAAAATATTATTAAATTTACTTTTTGTCCATAATAATTCCTAAAGAATGTAAATATGTATACACTAGTGTTCAAAAGTTTGTGGTTGTATGATTTTGTAAATAAATTGGTGCTGGTTATTCAGCAAAGATGTCTGTTGAATTGATCAAAAATGACTGTGAAGTAATTAATAATGATTTATAATCAAATAAGTTCTGGTAAATCATAGAATTCTGCAAACAAATTTTACAATTTCCACAAAAATATGTATTTGTAACATGAAAAACAAATCACTGAATACTGGAGTAATGATGCTACAAATCAGCTTTAAATCACATGAATATACTACATTTAAAAAAATTGCAATGGGAACGAAGCCATTTTAAACTGTATCAGTGTTTTACTAAATTACTCTTTTTCTATTGTATTCTTGATCAAATAAATGCAGCAATTGTGATCGTGAGAAGAGACATCTTTAAATAAACATTACAAACATTACAGATTTTATAAACAGTAGTGTTTATAAAATTTTAATTGTTAAAAGTTAATATATAAATAAGACTTAACATATCACAACCATTAATATTTCATGTTGTCTTTAAAAAACAAATCCTAAACAGTAAAGTTGAATTATATTTATTGATCACATAAATCAAAACATGGTGCGAATGAATCAATAGCCATTTTCAGATGCAAAGCTTTGCTCGCTCACTCGGTCAATACTGCAGTGTTTGTGTTCATTTCTCTGGACTGTCCATCTGCAGAGATGCGTTTATCCAGTGGCTCAGCTCATGAACACTAATATCTCCAATTACTGAGTGTGTGTGTGTGTGTGTGTGTGTGTGTGTGTGTGTGTGTGTGTGTGTGTGTGTGTGTGTGTGTGTGTGTGTGTGTGTGTGTTGTGTGTGTGTGTGTGTGTGTGTGTGTGTGTGTGTGTGGTAAATCTCACCTGCTTGAGGAAAACCAATAGCAGGGGCGAAACCAGCCGCCCCGGGGTACGGCGAAGAGATGATCCCTGGAGCCCCTGCGTACACACACATATACACAAACACAGTTAATAGACTACATCAAAAACACAAGACTGCATACTGACTGTGCGTGTTTAATTTAAAATACTTTAAAACATGTATTCTTGATGCAACATTTTTTAATTGCTGAATTAAAGATAATTACTATGTTTATGGCATGGTAGCACAGCTGTTCGGATAACATAATGAAGATGAAAGCCTTGTTAAAATATTTTTTTTATTATTTTATATCATCTTTTGCTTCAAAGGCAACTTTTTTTGCTTGAAAGACTATGGGCCCTAACATACACCCGGCGCAAGCAATACGCATATCTTTACAAATGAAAAATAATTAAAGGATTAAAATATTACAAAAATTATAATTTTCACATCTACATAAAAATAAAAACCATACTTTCATGCCTTTATCTCGGAGGGGGCTTTTTCAGTTTATTTATAACAATTTGCTTTTGTATAATGTTATTATTATTAGCAGTATTATTTATTATATGCATATTTATATTTGTTTGATTAAAAAACAAGCTTAGATTTGTCCACCTGTCAGGTTTTGGACCATATGGGGCATTACATGTGTATTTGGATATATATGGGCATAAGAATAGGGCGTTTCCTAACTCCAAAATCTTTGCGCTTAACAAACTAAATTAATTATGTTGGCTAAAGGCTAATGGCTATCTGTGCATACAACACTTTTCTCTATCCACGAGAGTGAAAGTGAAAATAAACAACGAGGAGGCTCATCTCCCATTCTCGCGCTGTAGATGCTCTGTTTAACTGTTTTCACTCTAGTGAAGTGCTCAGTTTGTCCACTTACAAATTCCCCCATGCAAACAGCAAATGCACAACTGGCTCTTAAAGGGAATGGGAGATGAGACTCTGATTGGTTTATTCTCAAAAAACACCTATAACTTATTAAGAGAATAAGCTCAACCCTATCAGACTATGCACCATGGCGCAAAGTGGAATTTTCCGTCCTTAAAATACCAAAAGTGGAGTCTGACACGCCCTTAATGTGTTTGCGCCCAGCGCTTTGGACTTTGCACATGGACAGTCAAAATAGAACCCTATGTGTGTTTTTAAAATATTACTATTTGGGAAATATACAATATATACTAATTATACTACACACAAACTATTTTAATTACACACATGTATCAACACATTATTATTATTGTTGTTGTTATTATTGCTGTTTGTTTGTTACAATTATTTTTGTTAAATTTTAATTTTATTTTCCATAAAAAAGTTGATTCTATTACATGTTGTTATTATTATTAATATGGTTTATTTATTTATATTAGCTTTTATTTATCACTTTTTATATGAACACAGACATTCCAGTTGTTTTTATTACACATTTATACACATAATTATGCAAGTAATTTTTATTTGTTATTATTATTATTAATGTTATATTTATTTTAAATACATGACTGTTATGATTTTATTCTTATTATTTTTATAAAAGTTATTATTAATGTCATTGCTGTATGCTTGTTACATACATTTTTGATAGATTAAAATTTTATTTTACATAAAAATGTATTCCATTACACATTATTATTATTAATATTATTATGCTTTTATTTATTTATATTAGCTATTTCTGCTGGAATAAAAGCAGTTTTTAATTTTTTACAAACCATTTAAAAGTCAAATTGGCCCCTTTTAACCTGCTTTTTTTTTTAATTATCTACAGAATAAACCATCGTTGTACAATAACTTGCCTAATGAAATTGCTGTATGTTTGTTACATTCTCTTTTATTTAGATTTTATTTTATTTTTTACGTAAAACTGCATTGTTACACATTATTATTATCATTATTACACACATTCCAGTTGTTTTATTACACATTTATACATATGATCACATGTAATCACAAAATTACACATGTAATTTTTTTCTTATTATTAATGGTATGTTTATATTGTATATATAGTTTATATATTGTTTAATTATTTATTTTTAAATAGACGACTCTTATAATTTTATTATTTTTATTATTTTACTTTTAATGTTTGCTACATTCATTTTTGTTAGAGTTTAATTTATTTTACATAAAAAAGTTTTCTATTACACGTTATTTTCATTATTAATATTATAGTTTTATTTATTTATATTAGATTTAATTTATTACTTTATATGAACACACACTCCAGTTGTTTTTATTACACATTTACACATAGTCACATGTAATCACATAATAAAAATTTTACTTTTATTTATTATTATGACTGTTAAATGTTTAAATGTTTTAATAAAATGTTATCATTTTATTAAACATTTTATTACAAACATTATTGTTTTTAACATTATTTTTAACGTTGTATAAGTTTTATGCAAGTATGATTAATAAATAAAATAAATAAAATCAATTTTTTCCTTTAATATTGAGACTAATTAAATATCTCACTTAATATTTTAATTAAACAACAGAACATCATGCAACCAATGAAAAACATCACTCGTACAGTTATTTTTTACACTCTGTATCACCCCTTTTACCAACATTAACTGATTTTCAAGCTGAATTTGGCTTGCTGAAACATGAATGTTCAAATAATTCGCAATTTGCTCCTGTATAATCTCCAATTCCCAGCAGGCGTCAGCTTAAGTGTGAACCCATTGTTTAAATCTGATTTATTCCCCTTATTTGAGATGTAAACCAGAGCAAGCGGTCTACACACATCTCAAAACAGTCCACGATAAAGCATTTTCATGAAGGCTGTTGCTCTGGAAGTCCTGCTCTAATAAAAGCTGCCATTTGAGCACCTTTTATTGCTCCAGTGGGGCGCCTGGAGACGTCAGCGTTCGCCCCTGAGATCCAACAATTCATCAGCTCTGATTTACACACACACACACACACACAAACACACACACATACACGCTGGCCTTATCAGCCTCAGCAGTGGCTCTTGCTCCACACACCACAGCTGATTTACTGAAGCCCAGACAACAAGATGCGTGGACGCTCGGAGTTTTATCTGCAGCCTCCTCTGACGATCACACACGCACAATAAATCCAGTCCGCAAACGCTGAAACTCAGTGCGCATGAGAGATAACGCCTGCCCTTTGATAGCGTGTGTTGTGCATCAGGACGATAGCATTATAATGAAACACACACCGAGGAAAATATCTGTGTTACAGTGTGTTTTCTAATAGAAAAGAGGTTTGTTAGTGAGATAAATTGATAGGTTTGATTAAAAAAAAACTGTAATAAAGTGTCAGGGATAAACAATAATGAAATATTCCAAGTTGGAATAAGTGGCAATGGCTCAAAATATATATTTGTGCTGGTTTTGCATATAAAAAAAGGAAAGAAAAAAGATAACTGCAATTAAAATTTTTAAAAGAGATAATAAACTTTTTTTGCATTTTCTATTTCAAAGAAAAGGTCAGAAAAGCCATAAAAGAATGCACAACAAAACGATTACCCAGTTCACTATTAAAAGTTACAGGCAACATTGTACTGATCCCGGACGAGCCCCCAATTAAAATTACGATCTTTTTTGTAATTCTTTTTTTTTGTAAGTCTTTAGCTGTGTCTGAAACTCTACACATAAGTAGAAAATCATTAAAAGAATAGTTCACCTAAAAATAAAAACTCACTCGCTATTTATTCACCCTCAAGTGGTTTCAAACCTATACAAGTTTCTTCTGGTAAACACAAAAGAAGATATTTTGAAGAAAAATGGCTTTCATAGTGGGAAAACAAATTCTATGAAAGGTTAAATGGTTACAGCTTTTTTTCAAAATACCTTAATTTGTTTTCAATTGATTAAAGAAACTCATATAGGTTAGGAACAAGTTAAGGGTGAATAAATGATGACAGAATTTGCGTTTTTGGGCGAACGATAAACTTGCATTTCCTATTCTGACCAAAAATTCTGAAAAGGCATACAACTATGCACAGACAAAACTATTATCCAGGACATTATTAAAAGTTGCAAGAAACAATTTTACTGATCCCGGACGAGCCCCCAATTAAAATCATTTTTTTCCTTGCAATTTTGTCTTTCCCCCTAGAATTCTGAGTTTATAGTGGTATCTGAAACCACTGACTTGTACACTCATTCACTAATCCCTATTTAGCATATGGCAGTTAAAATGAAAATGAAGTGTTGTGAAAGAGAAAAAAGAAAGAAAAAATGAGTGTGCAAATCTAGGCAGTATTATAAATCATGTGAGCCTCTAGTGGACAGTTTTATCATTACACCTACCATCGATGTTTGGCTTTATTTTTCTCATGTAGCATATTATTCGATAGCAAAGAGAGTAAAAACACCTGCATGTCATGCTTATTTATTAGTTATAATTTTTTATGAAAATACAATGTTTTTAAATTTATTTGTTCACAAATTTCTTGTACTTAAACAATATAGTACAGAAATATAACAACATTTTATTGGATTAATAAAAAAAAAAAACAATGACAGGAACCTAAACAAGTGTACACACATACATTAATTATAATTTTCACTTTTATTTCCTCTTCACATTTGCTGTGTAAAGAAAAACAATGACAGGTACCTAAACAAGTGTACGAATATACATTACTTTTATTTCTTCTTCACATAAGCTGTGTTTCTTCTTTGTTTACTCTTTAACCACCGCTAGTAGGATTTTGGTAAATGCGGCTTTAATGAGTTTACACACTTGAAATCAGTGTGGGTTGTGGGTAAAAAGCAGTGAATGAATGTTGAGACATTCACTCAGCATTCAGACATTACTACAAAATGGCGAGCACCTGGTATAGTGCAATATATAGTGGATATAATTAGTTTCGAACACAGTTCACAACTATTTTCACAACTACTTTTTTGAACACTGGTTAGTTCTCATAACTATTAGCATTTTACATGTTACTAAAATAGCATTATAAGAAGCTAAAAAATAACTAATAAAAGTGGTTTGTTGGATGAATAGACAGGTTTAATTAAAAGAATAAAGACAGTAAAGACATTAGGGTTTGGTTGTGTTTATGGGGTGCGACATACATTAACATATTCACATTTTATTTATTTGAATTATGTTATTTTTCACATGTTAACTTCATCCTAAACTTCTGTTCTTCTAAAAATTGTTTCAGAAGTATACAGTGTACACTAAAGATCCTTCAGAAGTACACAGCAGACTCTGATTAATCAGCTGGCCCAGTTTGCATGAAATTGTTCACATGGTGCACGTTGAAGAAAATACTATACAGCAGGAAATCTAAGTACTTTTGTAAGGAAAAATTATCCATCTTAAAAACACATAGAGTAAGAAAAATATCAAAAAAATCAAAAAAATATTGAAAGCTAATATAATTTCTTATTTAACCCTGGAACAATAGATTTAAATATATATTCTAGAGAACAACAGATCCTCAGACTGAATATTAATAATCCATGTGTGAGTCTTACCGAATGCGGTCTGCATGGTGGGGTCGAGCGTGGGCTGACCGTCTCCTGAAGGAAGGTCCAGACGAGTGAAGTCCCTGCTCTTGTCATTGTTATATTTCACATTCAGACTGGTCAGCTTGGAGAATTCAACACGCAGAGTACAGCAGCCGTTGTAGATGTTCTGTCCATCCAAAGCCTTAAAACAACACAACATTAACATTCACTCACAAACAAATTATAGTTTGCTTAACGGGGACCTAGTTTGCCACTTTTTCAAAGATGTAAAATAAGTTTCTGATGTCCCTAGAGTGTGAATGTTTAGTATTAGATCAAAATAAAACACAAATAATGTTTTAAAACTCTTTTTAAAATTCCCACTTTTAGGCTTTGATTCTAAGTGTGCCATTTTGAAAACTTTCGCTTTAAATTCAAATGAGATTATGCTGTTTTCAAAAGAGGGCGAAGCTACAAAAGCCTATTTGTCAGCATCACCAACCTAATTTCACAAAGTATGATGCAGTCCTGAATTAACATCAATGTTGATCCTAGAACAACATTCCAATTAATCAATTAGATTTAAAGGATTTTCACGTTTTGGCACTTCTACATGAATGTTATCCAACTATTATTCCCCTGTTATTTTGGGAATAATTTCCAGCTAATAGAAAATAAGGAATAATAGGTCCCTTTTAAATAAAACATAATAATACAATATAATAAAACATGCATACAGTGCTGAGTGTAATACATATGCAATATATGTGTATTATTTTATTGTAACAGTATTAATATCTTGAAATTCATTCCTTTTTCCCCAAGTCTGCATTTATATCACAAAATTGTTATTTTTGGTCAAACTTCTGACATTTTTCCCCCAAAATATGAGAGAAAAATTACAATTATATTTAGTAGCTAAGCAGATGTTTTTTTCCAAAGTAATCTAAATAGGAAGTGATCAAGCAATTCATTGTGGCGATGCAGTACAAGTACATCGTGTTATTGATACAAAGTTTTTTTTAATTATTTCTTTATTATAGTTTTTGCAGACATAGAAAAACAAGGAACAGAGAGACAAACCGATCATGAAAGTATCTGTGCTAAATGTAAAATAAAGCATGAAACAAGGAAAAATGGCAACATACAAGACCTATAAAAAGACACAGCAATGGATGTAAAAACTTACAAATCTTCAAAAATTAAACAACACTTTTAGTCTTTATAGTGTTTCAGAAAATAAAGACTGGATGCCAACTTTTAAAAAATTTTTCGAGTTTCCAGAAGAGGTGTATATAATTATTTCCAAATGTAAAGTGGAGGTAAGTCAGATAAGTCAGTCAGAAAAAAGAGGCCTAACATTTTTTTTTTTTTTCAGAAACAAAGGATAACTTTTTTTGCTTTAATCATGGCATACTGGATAGGTAATCGTACATTTCGATTAAGAGTGTCCAGAAAATCTGACTAGGCAAAAATTGCTATCATTGGGTCAGGGAGTAAAACACAATCGTAAACCTTAGCAAAGAACTGAAATACATGTATTTCTAACCAAAAATTCTGAATTTGAACATAGTACAGAAAAGATGTGCTAAGGTACCCTCAGCAGCTTTACACTTGTCACATGTGGGGGAAACCGAGGATTAGAATTTACTAAGCTTTGTTTTAGAATAGTGAAGTCTGTGTAATACTTTGTTCTGAATAAGATTGCGTCTACAATTATAGAAAATGAATATACAGATAAAAGGCACTGATCCCAATCAGTCTCAAAGATTAAAATCCCTAGATCTTCTTCTCAAGCCACTTTCAAATGAAGAGAAGAAAAATTGGTTTTGTTTTTAAAAGCATTAACAAATAAAGAGGTCAGACCCCTAACAATTGAATAATTTAAAACAGGTTAAATAATTCAATTCTAAAGAATATTTTTTTTAGAAAAATACAAGCTGGAGTTGATAGGGATTAAGAAACAATTTGTTTAAGGGAAACACACAGAACAATGACAAACTATGACTAAAATGTTAACTAAAATTGAAATGAAAACATAAAATATACAAATAAAAACATATTAAACTGTTAACAAAATGTAATAGCAAAAAACTAAAAGGTTAAACAAATTTCAGATAGCAAAAAAAAAAAGAATAGCATTTACAAAAGTGATGTCAATTTTCAATTTGGGGTGAACTGCCCCTTTATAATATATTATATTATATTATATTATATTATATTATATTATATTATATTATATTATATTATATTATATTATATTATATTATATTATGGGTTTAAACTGCCCCAGTATTGTTGCTCTTTTGCGTCACACAGGTAACAGAAGCGTGTTTGTCTTTCCATCACAGGACATTGAACTCTTCCGGCACATTCTCATTGATTACACCTACTCTACTTCATTACAACAGGGTCATTACATCTCAGTTTTTCTTTCTGTTAATCAATATCCTAAAACAAACGACAGCCAAACTCCAAACAGCTCCAGAAAAAGCCACAGTTGTGAGGTTTGTATCTCCACTGAGGAACAGGGAGCTTGAAGAGAATCAAGCAGAATTAAAAGCAACATGCAGAGAAAACTAACAATACACAATCAAAACCTTAAAATATGTTCTCAAAAATCTCTGATGAGAGCTTATATAGCTGTTATTAGGATAAAAATGTCTTTCTTGGGTAACTTTTAACATCTTTATCTTGCTTTATCTATGGTCATTTCAGATGTAAGAATCATGCCAGTTTTAAAATCTCTTTTGACTTCAGAGAGAGTCTAATGACTCGTTCCATAAGCAAAACCAACAACATGAGCAATACATTACTCGCTGCAGTTTACTTAATGACCACCGGTGTCACTAATATTAAAATTTTCTGTACTACACATAAAGAGCTCTATGCTATCGCATTTGCTATTTACATGGCGGACTTTCTAAGTGGAAAAACTGAATGCTTCACTAGCAAGAAAAGTTAAACAGACCATCTGCAGCGCGAGAATAAAGAATAAGCGTCCTCCATTCGGCCTCTTTACTTTACTTTTACTCTTTTCTTTACTCATTTACTTTCGTGAATAAAGAAACTGTGTTTTACCAACTCCGCTGAAGACATCGATTAGCCTACATATTAAATTTTGTTTGATAAGCGTTTGTTTGTTTGTTTGTTTGATAACTAGTTCAGTTCCTCAGAATAGCAATGCACCAACAATGCACTTTAACACACCTTCTTTATAGACCAGCACACCTATGAGTCCACAAAGTGGTGCAAATCAATTTGCTATTAAACAAAGTGGCACAAAACAAGAAAATTAGGGTTGCCCTGTCTGAAAATAGCAACCAATCGCACCATACACATCTTGCTCCTTATTGCACTGGGTGTATGATAGAGCCTATAGACTCAAAAACTGCATTCAACATGATAGACATTGTTAAATTATTTTTGTGGGCCTAAAGAAGGTTTGGCAGGGAGGAGGAACAGTGAAATAACTTCTCCTATGCAGCGCCACTTAATTTAACTAAACCCTGATGACAAACGCAAATCACATCTAATCCTGACAGTGGCCTAATTGACGGGAAGAATGAGGTGTGCTGTTAGCGAATGTGAAAACAAAACTATGAATTAGAGTTCATATTTACACATTTTAATAAATCACAGAGAGTCAATCAAACAGCAACATACTAGGGATCATTTGAAACACCTTGGCAACCACCATGGCAAACCAGTATTATATTATCTAGTAAGTAATATTGCACTGCATTATTACAACTGTTTTCTAGCTTGTTATTATTTCTTGTTATTTATTATTTAGAGCATCAATATTCCAGTCTTGCTCCAGAAATCATTATAGACTATCAATTTGGTGATTAAGGCGACGCAGTGGCGCAGTAGGTAGTGCTGTCGCCTCACAGTAAGAAGGTTGCTGGTTCGAGCCTCGGCTGGGTTAGTTGGCATTTTTGTGTGAAGTTTGCATTTTCTCCCTGTGTTCGCGTGGGTTTCCTCCGAGTTCTCTGGTTTCCCCCACAGTCCAAAGACATGCGGTACAGGTGAATTGGGTTGGCTAAATTGTCCATAGTGTATGAGTGTGAATGGATGTTTCCCAGAGATGGGTTGCAGCTGGAAGGGCATCCGCTGCGTAAAACATGCGCTGGATAATTTGGCGGTTCATTCCGCTGTGGCGACCCCGGATTAATAAAGGGACTAAGTCAAAACGAAAATGAATGAATGAATTTGGTGATTAATAAAAAATGTCTTCTTGTTTGTTATAAAGACATTTTTTACATATAACATTATAAATAACATTATAAATAAAACCCTCAAATATATATAAGATAACAAATAAGATAATATAAAAGTGTATATAATAATGGTTAATGTCTTTTTTGGTTCAATTTAAAATACTTAAAAAATAATAATAAAATATATATATACACACACACAATATAAAGATTTGTATAATTATGATTAATGAAGTTTTTTTTCAAAAACATATTTTTAATAAAAATAAAAAAAAATCCAAAATTATTAAAAACATATAAATAATTTATATTGAGTAATAAGATAATATCCATTATTCAAATACCGTAATTTAAATCCTGACCTCCACATGACAAACTAATTAAGCTGTAATTAAATAAAAAAATAAATGTAAAAATAAACAAAAGACAAAAGACATTAAAATAAGTTAAGTAAATAAAACAGTTATTTTTTCAAAAATTTAGATTAAATTCCTTTTATAACATACAAGTCTGTCTAACAGACAAGTTTGTTTAATGTCATGGTAAAAAAGATATTTTCCCAACAATCCAACACGTTGAAAACCTAAAAATTATTACTTTATTAAATATTTTTAAAAGGTTGATCTTTACTGTCACGTTGATCAATTTTATGAATTCTATTTGAAAATATAACTATTTCTAAAAACATTTGTTGACACGTGTTTTGACATGTTTTTTTTTTAAATCTACTTTTAGTCATTTGTGCATTTCTGTAACTGATAATCAACTCTCATCCAACACGCCGGTAAAAATAAGACACATTTTGTTTGTCATTATTTGCAATTTTTATTTTTAGGTAATTTTTAGGTAAGCTAAATACGTTTAGGTTATGCAAGTTTATATAATATTTTCTAAATTATATTTTAAAAGATTCTCTAAATCAATCTATGATGGTAATTATTTCATTTTCATTTTTTTACAATCATTTTTTCCATTCAATCATTCATTTTCCTTCAGCTTAGTCCTTTTACTCATCAGCGGTCACCACAGCGGAATGAACAGCCAACTTATCCAGCATATGTTTTACACGCTTCCAACTGCAACCCAGTACTGGGAAACATCCATACACACTCATTCACACACATCCATTACAGCCAATTTAGTTTATTTGATTCATCTATAGCGCATGTCTTTGGACTGTGGGGGAAACCAGAGGACCCGGAGGAAACCCATGCGAATACAGGGAGAACATGCAAACTCTACACAGAAATACCAACTGACCCAGCTTCTTGACCTTCTTGCTGTGAGCTTCAATGTTAACCACTGAGCCTCCGTTTTTAAATTCTAAATTCTAAATAAATAGAACTTTTTCTAGTTTCTTTTTCTACCCAGAATTTGTATTTAAAGATCTACTTTTAGCCAGTTCTGCATTTCTGTAATGCAATTTTGATAATCACCTCTCATCCAAGACGCTAATAAAAATAGTATACATTTGCTCACAATGGTTCCCTATTTGCTGCAATCTCAAACAGAAAGGAAGATCATAGCCCATTTCTAAAAAAGCCCCTCCATTGCCACCCCTCCTGTAACAATAACAAATGCTCTCTTTGTGCACGAAGGCAATGCAACATGGCAGCCGCACAATAGATAACACCCTCAGACCAGAGGAGTAATTACTTGCTAGCTCTTTTCCCCCTGGTGAGCTGCATTGGCATTCATTAGATAACCTCAACGGTGACATATTAATTACAGGGGCGGCTTGATTTGTGCTGTCTACTGGGAGACGCTTTTCCTGCCGCCTTCCTGTTGCTTTGACAAATTTTCGGCCGTGCACCAAAAAAATACCCAAGAACACCGCAAGAGACAGGTGTGAGCGCCATCGTGATTGATTTTGCAGCTTTGATTATAGGGGACGGCGGAGAGATTAGGATGAAATGACCACTGATGTCTCTTCAAGGAACTAAACTAGTGTATACTGAAGCTGGTTGCCATGTTTTCATCCAACCAAAGCTAATATTCATTTCCCCAACAAGATGCTAAGAGTATATGGCAAGCCAATTTAACATTTATTATATAAATAGTAGTCGTTTTTTATTTTTATGGTTCTAGTAATTTTAAATTTTTAACACTATTATAAAGTACTACACAGTAAAAATTTTGTTTATTTATGCTTTTGAACTGCATTATTGGACCTTGATCTTTTTTCCAACGACTTTTAATATGGAAAAGTGGCTTTTATTGACATTTGTAATAGTTTGAAGTGATTATTTCTAGATATATATTATTTCTAATGTGACATGCTGTTGTAAACTACTAAAATATCAATAAAAGTCACTCTGTTATTTTCACTCTGAATTTTCAACATCAAAAGTGAAAAGAGCAGAGACAAAGATTCAATAATGCAGACACTAACAGTGTGAAATTTGCGTAATACAAGAATTCTTAAAGGGCCGTGACACCCCCCACTTTCAGTTCAAGTTTACCTCAAAAAAAAAAAAAAAAAAAACATCATAATGGGCGTGAAGCTAAGCGATCAGAGGCAGGAGTGGGCATGGCCAGCAGAGCAGGGGAGAAGGTGGGAAGCAAACAACTTTTGACAGTTAGCTCACAAAATGAGACACAAACCGTGAGGAGATGCATGATTTTATAGTTTACAAAGTTAAAATGCAAAGAAATTAACTGTAATTTAATGCCATGCTACATTTGTCATTTGTAATTTCATACGCACAACCACAACTTATATCATTATAAAGATAATCGTGTTCATTTAAACATTATAAATGAAGACTTCTCCCTTAATCCCCAAGTCTGAATGCAGACTCAGTGCAGCAGATCTCTTGCCCTGCATATTTCAACCATTAGCCCTGCTGGTAATCTGGAGGATTTAGGCGAACACAGCAGCACTGCGATGTGACTAAATGTGAACAAACTCCACTGATAAAGTACAAACTCCGCCATACTCGAACCGTTCTCCCGACAAAAATGCTGGCTGCAGACATACAGCTTTCCAGTATCGGCCCTGACAGGATCGTGGGGAAAAACATGCAACAAGGCTCGTGGATCATGGAAACAAACACATACAATCCTTCATAAATGGCTAAGTACTCTGTGCCGTGGGTCCGTGGACGCGGTCTCACCCAGTCATCAACATAGGGTCTCACAGCTTGGAAGTGGCACTGGCAGGTCTGTGTCTTGCTTTTGGACAGCATGTGCAGCCATAAGTAATTAAGAAGCCGGCTCTTCTCATAGGATAAGAAAACTCTGCTATGAATTATAGTGAGAAACCGACGCGTCATCTTTGCACTTGCAGTTCTGCTCTACGTCCTTTTATTTATGCGCTAAATACCTTTTATTTAAAAGGTACTAAATAACAGGCACTAGCTGCTAATGAAGTACTAGAACTTAATGGAAAAAGTGCTAGTTTGTAAAAATGTGTTTGTTTTACAAATTAAATGCTAAAACAGTCTGCTATTAAAAGGAGCATCTTGTGGTTATGGATTGTTTGTTGATACTGACCACTTTGGCATGATGTGCGTTCATTGGATCTGCATATTGTAGCAAGGCCTGAAACTGGTTGTTCTTGGTGAAGGTGATGATCTTCAGGACCGTTCCAAATTTGGAGAAGATCTAAATTAAGGAGAAGACAAGAACAGCCTTTGTAAATAAAAATATACAATTTTAAAATAATATTTAATCTCATCTTATCTGGTTGAGCAGGATTAGTTAGTCTCCAAAATGATTTTGAGGTAGTTTAGCTAGTTGATAAGCAGTCAGAAAACTTAAAAAATGGTTTTTCTTAGGTTTGTCTTATTCCAAATATCCAAAATTCTTAAATCAAGAAGCATTTTCTGGACAAGTAAAAAATATTGCTGAAAATAAAAGCAAAATAATCTGCCAATGAGGTGAGTAAATTAATCTTGTAAATAATACAATTATTTTACAAACCCCTTTAACAGATTATTTTTATTTTTTGATATTTTTAACTTTTCTATATAAAAAGGCTTCTTGATTTCAGATTTTTTAGATATTTGTACTAAAACAAGGTTAAAAAAAGTAGCAAATCTTTTTTGTTGTTGCAGAAAATCATTTCAAACCATTAAATTAGAGCATTCTGACAAGGGTTAACAGCTCCATGTAGTTCAGTAAGCTATCTGAAGACTGGTTTAAGATTTATGAGTGGTTTAAGAACTCAGGGCTTCAACATTTTGACACCATTTTACAAGGTTGCCAGGTGACAGCAAAGAAGTGCACATGGTAAACACTGAAAGCAAATGAACACAGCAACAAGCACTTGAGCTTAGAAAGGAAACCCCTGAGCATTGCCTGATACAGGGGAGAAGATTATTGGTGATTATTGGTAAATAAATAAAATAAATCACCACAATCAACAAAAATGCCACACAAATTGAAAATCTATTGTGAAAATAATGGCAATTTGTTATTTATTTAAAATTAAATAAATTGTGCGTGTGTGTGTTGAATCAGATTTATTTTTTACACTTTCTCAATTCACACAGTATTCTGTTCAGCTTATGAACACACTTGCTAATCAGATGTGTTTACATTAAAGGAACACTCCACTTGTTTGTAAATAGATTATAGACTTAAACAGCTGAGTTTTACCAATTTTACTCAATTCAGTCGATTTCCAGGTCTGGCAGGAGCACTTAGCATAAATGATTTTTCAAACAAAATGATCGTTTTGATCTTTTTTATATATAACGATTGACATTTCTGTAGTTACGTCACATATTTAAACCAACAGAAAAATAAAAAGTTGTTTTTTTAGATCAATATGGCTAGGAACTATTCTCTCAGCCAGTTTTAATAATCAAGGGACTTTTACCGTGGATGCACCTGGAGCAATAATATTACGTAGCACCTGAAAATAGTCCCTAGCCCCAAAACCTAGACTTACACTACCAGTTAGAATCTCCGTAATATCATTCATTAATTAATTGTTTGTTAAGCATTAACTCTAGATTAATAGATGTTAGTAAGCAATTTATAAATACAGCTACAAATTCTGTTTTCTTGACTTTAAACAACATTTATAATGTGCTTAATAATTGTACTTTTTATACTTTGTAACTGATTGATTTGTCATTACTAAATTAAGTATTGCATTATTTACAAACAATTTGTATTTAAGAGTAGTTAATGGTTTTTAAAATCATTCAGAATAAGTTAGTAAATTATTAATATTTTTAATTATATACATATACATATATACATATACATATACACACACATATATATATGTATATATACATACATACATACATACATACATACATACACACACATATATTATATATATATATATATATGTATATATATATATACATATGTGTGTGTGTGTGTGTGTGTGTGTGTGTGTATGTATATATATATATATATATATATATATATATATATATATATATATATATATAAAATATAATTTTCACAGTAGTTGAACTAGAATAAAAGCAGTTTTTAATTTTAAAAAAAATATTTTTGGGACAAAATTATTAGCCCCTTTAAGCTAATTTTTTTTTTCAGTAGTCTACAAAACAAACCATCGTTATAGAATAACTTGCCTAATTACCCTAACCTGCCTAGTTAACCTAAATAACCTAATTAAGCCTTTAAATGTCACTTTAAGCTGTATAGAAGTGTCTTGAAAAATATCAAGTAAAATATTATTTACTGTCATCATGGCAAAGATAAAATAAATCAGAGTTATTAAAACTATTATGCTTAGAAATGTGCTGAAACAATCTTCTCTTCGTTAAACAGAAATTAGGGGAAAAAAATAAACAGGGGCGTTAATAATTTAGGGGGGCTAATAATTCTGACTTCAACTGTATATCCTATTATTCAGTTATATAGTAATGGTTAACATGTGTGTTAGTATATGCTTTTCTAAAACAACTTCACTTCTATTAAAGATAATGGGCTCTATTTTAACAATCTAGGCGTAAAATATAAAGTGCATGGTGCAAAAACATTAAGGGCATGTCTGAATCCACTATTTTAAGGACAAAAAAATACAGTCTGTGCCCGGCACATGGTCTAACAGGGTTGTGCTTATTCTCTTAATGAGTTCTGAGTGTGTTTTGAGGATAATGTGCATTAAACCAATCAAAGACCCATCTCCTATTCACTTTGAGAGTCAGCTGAGTCACTTCATTTGCTATTTACATCGCAGACTTTGTAAGGTAAAAAAACTGACTCAGCAAGAAAACAGTTAAACAGACCATCAGCAGCGTGAGGATAAAGAATGAGCCTCCTCCATTCAACTTCTTTACTTTCTCTTTACTTTTCTTTTACTCTTTACTTTACTCCTTTATTTTTGTGGATAAGGAAACAATAGAAACCCACTCTATTGAAGACATCCATAAGCCCACATATTTAATTAAGTTTGTTAAGAGCAAAGATTTGTTTTAAAGCTATTTCTAAATTCACTTCTAATTTCCAGCAAATTAATAAAAAAACTATAATAATGAAGTGAGGTCAAAAAAACTTTTGTTGTCTCCAAACACGCATCCTATTCTTATGCCCCATATGGTGATGCATATGCCTCCAAAATCCAACAGGTGGACAACTCTTAACTTGTTTTTATACAAACAAATATAAATATGCATATAATAAATAATACTGCTAATAATAATAACAACATTATACAAATGCAAATTGTCAAGAATTAACTGAAACCCCCCTGGGGTTTGGACCTGCATATGAGCATAACTGACGCACTCTGCACTGGACTTTAGAGCAGCTTTTAGTTGGTTAATGGCACGGTATGTTTCAGTTTCTCAAAATAGCAATGCACCAACAATGCGCCTTAACACACCTCCTAGCACACCCATGAGTCCACAAAGTGACGCAATTGGATTTGCTATTAAACAACTAGGCGCAAAATATGAAAATTAGGGTTACGCTGGTCTGAAAATAGCAACCGATCGAGCCAAACACGTCTTGCGCCTTATCCTATATATATCTTATTATTAATGTGCTTATAAGTAGACCCACACTGCATGTGCAAAAATCTGCAATTTTTTATCCAATTATTGTCTATTTATGGACTTGTGTAAATTTACAGTATATTTATTCAGTTTTTAAATGATTTCAGTAATATTATTGACTAATATGAAAATGTTTATTTGATTTATTTAAAATACAGTTTGTAAAGTAATATTTACAAATTTAAGTAAATAAATTATATGAGACTTGCTTTGTTTACCAAATAAGTAAATCTAATAGTTTTTTTTAAGTTAAAAGGGTATTATTATTTATTTCATATATTAAATTTTAGTTACGATACTCTTAATATCATTCCACATAAATTCTGCACAGAAATGTCTGCAGATTCTGTCTGGCCGTACTTATAAGTCAAGAAAACTGTGTTTGTAGCTATATTTATAAACTGCTTACTGATGTTTGTTATTGTAAAATTGCTGCTTAACAATCAATTAATTAAATATTTTCCAATGGTTAATAAATTATTTATAGTGTGTAGTTGTAAAAGTGTGCCCAAATTATGTCATGGTGTCACTCTGATGTTGTAATATTCCAGAATACCAAAACAAATCAAAGGATAATGAATCAGAATCACTGCTAATAGCCAGCGATATTTGATTTGAAAGAGAGGTGAAACGTTGGTGCAGTGTTGTGGTCTTACCTGGTGCAGCACTTCTAGAGACACTGGGTAATAGAGATTCTCTACGATGATACGAAGCACGGGACTCTGTCCAGGCATCATTCCTCCATCACTGGCTGTGGCAGTCCCAGAGAGACTCATGTTCCCAGTGTGCACTGCGTTGACAGCTTGCAGAGCAGCCTGGGCTCTCTAAGAGTGAGATATGAAGTGTTAACAGATAGCAAAACTCATGAAAACTTCACATCTGAATCTTTGAAAATATTGTGCGAGCAGGTGTGCCTGATTCCCAGAGCACTAAAATGCACTATCAGCAAATGACTGTGTAATGAGGACATTTACATACTGTAAAACTAATAGCTCTAGGGAAAGCAAAAGTGTGAAGGAGGCATTATATATGCAGAGATACAGTTTTGAGTTTGTAAGGAAAGTAAGAAAATGAGCTAGTGAAGAAATTGATGCATCTTAATTATTTTAATTGAGAAATGTGATACATGCAATTATGTGTTATAATATTAAAATTGCATAATATGAACTCAGAATTCTCTGTAAAATGTCAGAGTTGCTTATTAATGTTGAGAGAAGAACTCGCACACACACAAGTATGAGAATAAACAAAGAAATGAAGAAACAAGGATTAAAATACACCAGTGAAGGACTAACATAATACCAAACAAAATGGAGTTTATATGTCAGAATTCTGAGGTAAGAAGTCACAAATGCATGCAGAAATATCAGAATTGCGGGTTTATGTTTAATTATCTCGTAATTTTGACTGTGTAAATACAGAGATCTGTCTTAATAACAGGCAAATATAAGTTTCTATAGTTAGATTTTGCTGTATTTGGCTTAAACTGTTTTTGGGTGGCTTGCCAATGTATTAGATGACTCTAATGCATACAATAAGTAAGCTGACCAAAGTTCTTACAGAAGGGAAGACTTTATTGAAGACAATGAATAGTATAGTCCCTCAGCATCGATGTTAACCTATAACTCAACCCAAAGTACTGTCTGTTAGACAGAACTTTATAACAAAGGATATAACCCACCCAGATATTACCCAACCGGTTTGGTTGGGTCACAACACTTGACTTCCAGTAGGCCATTTGGTTTACACTTTTTCAGATGCAGATACTTGTTTGCATATAAAACAAGCCATACAATCTATCATTAATCCAATTGAGAGAACTGTCAGAATTGTGCAAAACGTCTTATAATAATAATACATAAGGGTTTTCAACCCCTCACTGCCTTGAAGTTTACCATTAAGATTGTTGTAGAACGCATTGGTCCCCAATTAGTTTTTTACCTAGTTTGCTTATTTACTTACTTGCTTACTTGCTTGCTTACTTGCTTACTTACTTACTTACTTATTTCTCTATTTATTTAACCCAACTATATTGTATACCTATAGAGTTTATTGTTTGCATTCTCTATTTTTCCCCTTTTTCCTTTCCATTTCTGTTCTTGGTGGTTGTTGTTTGTGTTTGCAAAATAAAAAAAATTAAATAAATCATTCAAAAATAAAAAAAAATTGTGAAATTTAATTTCACTATTGTAAGACAAAAGTCTGAATTGTGAGATTAAAAGGTCACGATTACCTTTAATATAATGTTCTTTTATACTTTTGTGCAATTTTACAATTTGCATAGCTAACTGTTTATAGGAATATTACACAGAAACACAGTTAACTGTTGCTATATTTCTGTTTTAGCTCAAGTTTAATTGCATTCCGGGGGTTCGTTCTTCATACCTCGCTTAAATGATCTAAGATGATTTGGCAGATCCTGGATCTTTTAATCTTGATAACTGATCTCTCGCTAATTTGGTTCTTCAAAGAAGTTCACGAATCAGATTAGAATGTCTGGATAAACTGATCTGAGATCGCTGCTTGTGTTGGAAAGGACAGATCTATCGATGCTCAAAATCATGATCAGCAATGCAACGATTGGCTGACAGCACATCAACGTAATGACATCATCTGATTAATATTCAATTATCCATGTGAGCAAAATTACATCAAACTAGCAGTAAACGCTTTGTTAAATATGACACGCAATAACCTTCCACATTTGTTGTGAGCTGCAGGCTTTACACTTTCATGTGTCAAGAGTATTCATCATGTATTTCAATCCATATCAGTGTATTTAGTTCTACATTTTGAAAAGATTGTCTTTGTTATAGTAGCCATTTTTTTAATCAGTGTAAAGAATTACTGGATGTTTACAAAAGCATTTTGATATTTTCCCAAGTGTATATAACTACTACTGTAAGAAAATATCAGCATTTGGTACATACTTTCAGTATTTTCTTTGCATGAACTGAGCCGATCTAATCCTGTTTATATGAATTGAACCTGCTCCCGATCAGGTTTGATCTACCAGAACTGTTGCTATGACAACAACTCTCGGATCAGCTTTGAAGAACGAAACGATCCTGGATCGTGTCAAATCGTCAACATCCAAATCCAGCTAACTGAGTAATCCACGTACAAAGAACGGACCCCAGGTTCAAATTAAAACATGTAAGACAACAACAAAAAACTCTATGATATTCCATGCTACACAAAGTTCCATGTATATGAATGACTTGTGTGATTTCCTCATATGCTTCTAAGTAGAGTGCACTTTGTCAGTATGTGCTTCTCACCCCCTGATTGGGCAGATTATCAGTCTTGAGCTCACGGTGGTTGGAATACTGAATGTAGACAGGTTGGTTGCGAACATGGGGTGTGGCTGTGGTGTAGTAGTTGACCATGGTCATCGCTGCTTCTTCAGAAGCCATTTCTATAAAAGCCTGTAATACAAAAAGAGGTGCTGTAAGTGCTTGACTGTGAAAACACTATAATTCAACTGTGCATATGTGCTGTCAGTTTTTTTTCCTCAGTCTGCAACACTAAAATGAAACAAATAAATATATAGGCTAATAGAAGAACTGTTACTTAAGGATGAACAGTCAAACAAGCTTAATCAAGCCTGTATTACAAATAATAAAGAACAAAGTTGAACATTATTATTTAAGAGCTTTGTTCAAATCCTTAACCCTAAGTATCAGTCATAAAGCCCTAAAGCTCGTCTCAACAAGCCTGGCTCGTGATTATTCTGACCTCATCATGCAAGGTGTAAGTTTTATAGATGCAAAACCTGACAATAAACTGAAATCTTTTGAAGCCCCAATCAAATCAAGCAGCAAACAACACATTATGCAACCAGGGCATTAGAAATCCATCTTTTCTTGTTGAAATATGCCAGATTCCATTTGAATATGAAAAGACACTCAAGTGGAATTGAGAGACTGCAGTGTTTTTTGTGGGGCTTCTGTTATTAGATGGACCTTGATGTGTTTGAAAGGATACACACTTCAGTTTCTATCAGTGGACAGCACTAATGAAGCGAAAACAGATCTGAACTCTTGTCCCCTTATATAGGCCAAAATACAGCTAAAATGATTCTTTGTTGGAGGTGTTTATTAGTAGAATGGGTTTGCATACAGACGTCAAAACAGTCAAAATGACCAGATCCCTCAAAACAACTAAAATAATGTCTTATAATCGCCTTACAGGTATGTGCAGATATAACTGTATAAAAAAACACTATAAACCTGTGCATATATGAACTATTTTTGGCCGGATTTTGTTAAAAATTACATAATTTCAGTTCCTTCTTCCACTTCGATTTACACATTTCAAGTATAAATAGTCTTCATTCACCCCGCTTAAGCATATCCCCGTCTTCATCAGGGGACGCCACAGCTGAATAAACCAGCAATTACTCTGACACGTTTTATTGGCGGATGCCCTTCCTGCCACAACCTAGTACTAAAGCAGGTCGCACACCAGAAGCGCCGCTCACCGCCGCGACACGGCGTGCACATGACAGTTTAAAGTATCACACACCAGACGCACACATTCGAATGATATTTAACAATAAACTAATCAGATGGTGCTCTGTTGCGCGGCTGAAAAATGAACTGCGTCCTGAGCCGTGGACGGGCGCCGCCGACAGCCACCGACTTGCGGCGCCGGTGTGTGTATCCTGATAGAAACCTATGTTTAGAATTCTAAAATGCATGGCGCTGCATGGCACATCAGTGCTGGAAAACACCCACATATTAACATACTTATACACTATGGCCAATTTACATTATTCAATTCACCTATACCCCATGTGTTTGGAAGATAGGAAGCCCATGCAAACATGGGGAGAACATGCAAACTGGGAGGAGACAGTGCTACCCACTGAACCACCGTGCTGTTCCAGACACATAACATACAAAATATTTTGCATTTAGCTTTATGCTAGTGAGAACATGCTAATCTATAATTAAAATCTCATTATGCTTCATTTTTAGGTTTAAGACATTGCCTAAGACAATGGCATTGTCACACCATTGTCCCCATTGAGGGGTTAGGCCCACATTTCCTAAATCATGTTAGTTACACCATGATGAACCCCACAGAGATTCAACTGTGGGAATATGTACATACGGATTTCTTCTGATCTTATTCATGCTGTTTAATCCGGAAATTCTGCCACTAAACCAAATGAAAGCTTAAGATTTGAACATCTCAAAAGACGATTCCCAAAGTTAATTTCCAAATCCATCATTTTTTTTTTTTTTTTTTTTTTTTTTTTTTACAAATGGTCCTACAAATGTTCCAACAGTCATACTGCTGATGCTTACAGAGCTAAAAAAAATGGCAGAGATGTGTTCACAGGTGGAGCACTTACTTGATTTTTCCCTTTAAGCATCAATAGGTTGGTGACTTTGCCAAATGGGACACCTAGTGAGACGACCTCTGCCTCGGACACTTCGATGGGAACTTTGCGGACGTGGAGGACGCGGGAGGGGGCACAGGGAGATCGGTCTCCTTTATACTGTTTACTGTCAGTGCCATTAGCTGCCAAAAAGAAAAAAGAAATAAACAGATTATCCATTTTTTTTAATTGACCAGATTTCCAAATGCCAAACCTGGCATTGATATACATGAATGTTTCATAAGCAAGACCCTTCAGACACCAAAGAGAATTGATATTGATTCAGTGACACCAAAAGGTTACCGTCACAAAATATTTTGCAATGTTTTAGCCTCTCCAAGGGCCAAGAGTAAAATGAATTCAAAAAGACACACTAGTAGACAGACATGGGCAGAAACATAGAACTGACAATGCAATGGTGGTGGACAGCATCTCTGATACTTCCCCTCGGAAACAATATGAGAAGCCTCTTACAGGATTAAACAGACCTCTGTAGTCTGTCACGTTTCCAAATGGCGCCCATTGTGGGGCATTTGGCACTTGGCTATGTCCTGGGGCGCATCACAGACTGGTGACAGGTTTAACAGAGACAGACTTTGGTGGATTGTCTGCTGCAGCTTTACCATTCTTGTAAAAAAGATTGCACTGATCGTGTTTGTCTCATTGCAGATAACAGCATCAAAGCAATCAGTCTCAGTTGCAAGTATGCGATTAAAAGATGTAGAATGTCAGTCTGTTAGACTTTTATTTATAACCAATGCATACTACAATTTACAGTAGCCAGACTTGTGGTGAATTCAAAATATACATATAGCCATATTCTCCATGATGAATTCAGAAGTGTACAAAAACAAGTGACAAATATATTCACTCTCTTCTCAAAGAAAGAAAGAAAGAAACAGCAGTGCACAAAAGAAAGTGCTATCATCAGCAGGACATCCAGTCACAGTTGAAAAAAAATATCAGGCACAGTACAGTGTACAGTGATTGTGACCCTGCTCTTACAAACCAACAGTCCAGAGACCCTCTCTCCAAAGCCCAGCACAGAAATCCCATTTCTCCCTCAAAGAACAAAGATCTAAACCCTTCCATCAGAGCCCAGCAATATGATCCAACCCCTTCCTCAGAGTAGTAATCCAGGCCCTTCTATCACATTATAGTAGAGTGATCAGATCCCTCTCTCCCCAAGACCAGTAATATACACCCTCCTCTAACAGCCCACTAGAGCAGGGGTGTCCTAAAGGGTTTAGCACTAACTTTTCTCAACACATCTTCCAAGATGTTTCTAGTAATTCTAGTGTTTGGTGTTGAACTAGAGTGATCACATCGTTCTCTTAATACAATCTTCACTTGCATCCTAATGGCCACAGAACAGAGATTAGATCCCGCTCTCCTTGTCCAGACAATATAGACCCTCCCTTTACAGATCAGTAATGATTAGATTCCTCCTTTACTCAGTGATCTTCTTTCTCTCAAGTTTTTTTCCCTTTTGTTCCTCGCCACTGGCTTGCTTGGTTTGGGACTTGTGGGGCAGCGCATCGATGAATTGGCTCTTCAGTGTTTAAACTTTAAGCAGTTAAATTTAAATCAAACTGAACTGATTTAAACTGAACTTCAACTCTGAAAACTTGACTAACGCATTTTCAATTTACTAGAATTTCTATGTTAAGCTGCTTTGACACAATCTAAATTGTAAAGCGATATATAAATTAGGGTTGGGGCGATAGACGATGCCTATGGCCAATAAACAACACGATGCTGAGCCGACATCAATATCGTCTGCCCGACCCCTGTCGCAAACCCACTCACTAAAAATACACCCTTAGACCCTGTTTACACTAATACATCTTAGTATTAAAATGGCATTTTAAAACGAAAATGATCCACATCCACATCGTGTTTTACCTAGCATTTCTGAACAGCCCTCCGTCTGTTGAAAACGCCCATCACGTGACCACACACACAGCCACACACACTGACATGCGCTCGTCTGAGGAGCTCCAGAAAGCAGTGCACGTCAGACAGTTTATCAAAGATGTACCGCTGGATCGCGCATCACTATAGTTGTTAAACGTGATATTTAATTAATCTTGTCTTTCTCATGGCTTTTCAGTCATTTGAATATATCAGGTAACGTGTCACAGTGTCCATACACTGCTTCAGTCTTTCACTTTCACACTTGTGCTTAGTAATTTTAGTGAAAACCTTAGATACTCTTGGTTGTGCACATTTTTTACCGACCAACCTCTGGCAAAAAAAGGTGATTGACAGATGGTCTTTATTTATTTATGATTTGCTTATGGGTAAAACAAAGACCATGCGGGTCAGGTAGTTGAAACGGTAGGCTACAAATAATGAATTCGTTATGAATTCATTAATTATTCATGAATAATTAATTCACCTCCGCCTATGACAACGATGTCATCGTCTATCGCAAAGTTTCACATTAGACATCCTAAGATGACAAATTGGTCGACATCGCCCAACCCTAACATAAATAAACATGAATTAAATTGATCGGATCCCTAACCTCATACCCAGCCCAGAGATCTAAAACCTTCCTTCAAACCTACCAAGCCTCAAGCCTACAAAGCCTTCCCCAGCCTACACATCAAGCACATTTATTCCATCTCACTCCTCAAAGTTCACCAAAGTTGAGCCCAGCACTATGATCTAGATGATCCTCACAATCCAGTAATGACCCTATTTTACCCATCACTTATAACTGATCCATACCCTTCCCAGGTACCCCAGAAACCATCGCCCAGAAACCATACTAGACACTCCCCACACAGCTCAGTATTTTTTGACCCTCACGTTTCAGCTCACCATCCTCTTTTATCAACCCAACAGGGATCTAGACTTTACACCTACATGCCATCTCAGTGATCAGGCTCGTCCTTACTACCAGTCTTCTAGACCTACCCTCACAGCCCATGTCTAGACCTTTCTTTGACAGCAGTGTTCCCATCTCACCACCAAGCAAACACTGGTCCAAATTTTAGCCTAACACATCCCCACCATTAATTTTAACCTACATCAACAGCCCGTTATAGTGAGTTGGACTGGTCTCTTCAGCCCAGCTGAGTAATGTAGACCAGTGGTCCCCAACCACCGGACCGCGGTCCGGTACCGGTCTGTGGAACAATTGGTACCAGGCCACATAAGAAATCATAAATTATTTCTGTGGAAATTATTCCCCCCACTCACCATTTCATGTGACATGGACTATGCCAAAATCCACCACGGAATGAAGTGAAAGTGTAGCGGGAAGAACTCTCGCTAGAATATTGCTCAGTGGTGGATGTTGATAGTTTAAAGTTATAAAACAGGTATTATAGAGTCCAAATCAGCAGAGCATTTAAGGATTGTGCAAATATGTGTGCCTGCATCGCTAAGTAAGCACCTGAAATCATTGCAATATGTATCTATATGGAGTTTCACATAATCATACTCAGGGCTGTAACAAGCTAATGCATACATTTAATTCGGCTTTTATGGTTGTATTATTGTTAATATGTTCGTCAGTTGAAATGTTTGGCACAGATGTTATGTATTTGATGCATATAAACCTTGACTGAAATCTTATCTTCCAGCCTAGGACTGTAATTTAGACCCTCACACTGACTTATACCCCTACCCCTCAGTCTAACGCAGTAATTTAGGGACCTGTAAACATGGCAACGTGTTTGAATCAATTCACAAATGTTTAATTTCATCCTTTCGTCCACATGACACAATGATGAAGTGACCGAGTGATGATATGGGAATGGTTATGATATGGGGATTAAATAGCAACAAAACTGAAGCCCTTCTCATCGGGACTAAAAGTGTTTTGAATAAAGCTGATAATTTCAAAATAGACATTGATAATAGCACAATTATTTCCTCTGTGCAGGTAAAGAGTTTGGGTGTCATCTTGGCTAGCACTCTCGTTTGAAGATCACATCAATAATATTACACATACTGTATATTTCCAACTGCGTAATATCACTTGTCTCTGCCCTTTTATCACAACCAATCACACAGAAATTCTCATCCCAGTACCAGTTACTTCACATCTTGACTACTGGTGTGCACTTCTTTCTGGGCTTCTTTCTAAATTTCTCCATAAAATCCAACTAATTCAGAACCATGCAGCTCGTGTCATCTCTAGGACTCCATCTCATGAGCATGTCACACCACTTCTCAATCAGCTTCACTGGCTTCCGGTAAAGTTTCGTATTGATTTTAAAATATTACTTCTAACTTTCAAGGCACTTCATAATGTTGCTCCTCAATATCTCACCAAACTTGTCTATATTTACACCCCTTCTCGCACTCTTAGATCAGCCAACTCTTTCTCCCTTGTACCACCTCGCACTCGATTAAGCACAATGGGATACAGTTCTTTTAGCTCAATGGCTCCTCGGCTATGGAACTCACTTCCCCTGGATCTAAGGAGCAGTGATAGTAATGACACATTTAAATCTCGTCTAAAGATCCATCTTTTTAAGCAGGTTTTCCTTTAAAAAAATGTTATCATGTTTTTTACATGTTATTTTATATTGCGATGCGTGTTTATACTTGTTTGGTAATGTTTTTTATTTGTTTTAATTTGTTCTAGTATGGCTGTTGATGCTTATTGTAAGGCGACCTTGGCTGACTACAAAGGCGCAACTTATAAATAAAATGAATTCTTTTTCTTCTTCTTCTTCTTCTTCTTCTTCTTATTCTTATTATTATTATTATTATTATTATTGGTATGGTTAAGAGGCCATGGTGGACAGAGGCCATTGGGCAAATTTGGCCAGGATGCCCAAGTTAAACCCCTACTCTTTTTTTTTTTAAAGGACATCCTGGGATTTTTAATGACCACAAAGACCCAGGACCTTGGTTTAACGTCTCATCTGAAAGACGGTTCACACTGAGCAGTATGGAGTCCCCATCAATGTACTGGGGCGTTAGAACCCACACAGACCGCAGGTTGAGCCTCACTAAGATTACTTCCCCCAGCAACCTAGCTTATGGTCTCCCATCAAGGTACTGACCAGGCGCAGCCCTGCTTAGCTTCAGTGGGAGTCATCATGTGAGAGTTGCAGAGAGCTAGCGGCCGGTATATGATAAATGTAATTGTTTGGAAATTATGACATCACAGTACCAT